TCATGAGTATGATTGTTTGTATCGGTCTGGGTGTTTTCTATGTATAATATGTATGTATTTACACAAAAAAAAAATCTGTGTATATGTATCAGTTATCTAGTACCCATAACACAAGCTCTAGCTAGCTTAACTTGGGTCTAGATGGCTCTGTGTGATTTGTCCTGAGATTATTATTATTATTAATATATAATTTTCTCTGGATTCCCATATTTCAATGAAATAATTCTTTGACGAAACCATCAATAATAATTTATTAGCTTCACTATGGTTCAACCTAATATTAATTATTAATCTTCCGTACCCGTGGAAAATTTGTTGTAAAAAGGGTACAAAAACACTTTTACTTGGTGATGTAATGCGGTAACAATCTATAGAAAAAGGCTTGATTGTAAAACTTTGTTTAAATAAGCCTGGAAATAGCCTATAACAATAGATATTAAATAACAGGACGCGCATATTGTAATATTTCAAATGAGCTAGTAGGAAGCCACCTTCTAATTAATGTTGTACTAATTGTTATACTAATTTTACTTATTTACAATTCTATACATTTTTTATGGATGAAATGAATAACAAATTAATTAGGAATTACGATCTATTCTATGGCGATCGTGTGAAAGTCCTGATATAATGCCTATTAGTTTCCATTACTTACAATTCGTTTCCCTCCTCTATAACGATATTAATTTGATTATGCTACAATAAAAGTAAATATGCAATGAAAATAATAATTTGGTTTAAGGTGTGGCGAGTCCCCGAATAGACAGACTGTTTTCAATGAAATGAATGCAGACATAGAATAGAAAAACAAATCAAGACCAAAGGTTTGAAATATGTTCTGTATCTTTCACAGGATCATTCTGGTGCTTACCTCGCCTTAAATAAATAACTGTCGGCACTTACTATAAAATGTAGTGGTTATAATTTTTGAAACTAAGTGGTTTTGTGTTTTTTGTGCCAGTTATACCTCCATATTATACCTACAATTAATCAAGTTAGTAATATGGTATCATCTATTTTAAGTCATGCAATTACCTATAGGTAGGTAATTGAATGTAGGCGAAGTTACGTATGAAAAAATAAATACAAACATTAGTAAACAGCCCGACCCAATGAAGTGATTTGTACTTAGCCGGTTTTTTTGTCACGTTTACAATTAATTCTGAAATTAGTCACGCGTGGCAACTCTACAATCGACTAATGGCACATCGATGTAGTTTTTGACGTTTGTTTATCCATTCGATTATTCGTCGTATTTGAGATCCAATTAGCATTAAGTATACACAGGCAGTGGTATTTCACCAAGCGTGAATAGTGTTTGGTGAAGGGTAGATTGATGACATATCGTAGGTATGACATATGTTTTTGTTAGTACGTACACGCTACTTTTCGATATTTACCAAAGTTTAAAACGGCATTCACTATTGCAGCAGCTAGCGTAAGGGTCAAATAGTTTAATTATTTGAATAAATACTACAAATAAAAGTTCGATAAGTTTAATGTTTATAGCTCTATGATAGATTATACTATAGACTACAGTTCAGTAATCCAATGTTAAGGTAAGGGTACTGAATTAAGCTAGTAAGTATTTTATATGACCCATCTATAATTAATCACTTCAACAAAAAGTCCATACATCGTTTTATCATACCGGCAATCATACGGTCCATTTGATGGTAATCATAAATAAAATTATTTATTATTATTGTCTGATCTCATTTGTAAACGTCATTCCTCACATCTCTACGTAGAGATCAATCTCCTATACATATAGGTACACCTTCATACATTAGTCAGTACTGGATTTCTCCTTATAATATATACATATGTATGTAATTAGATTTTTGGGATGAATTTAATATTTATATGACATTATTTGAAAAGTATTTAATAGTACGGATGATAATATTATTTGAATCAATGTATTTTAAGGATGAAATATATAAAAGTCGAATAGTCGGTAATGACACTATTTTTAGAGTAGGTAAATATCATTAAGTAAAATATATATCGAACGGTATAATAATATTTGAATCAAATCATATTAATATTTGAGTCTTTTAAGAGTAAAGTATATAAAAGTCGAAGGGTACCTAAGTATCTACTAACTAAATTGTAGCCTTATGAAAATTCATAGCAAAATTTTATATGTAATATATTTGTATTAATTATGTGCCTATTTGTTTGTCTATTTATTTAAAAAATTACGTACACACGTGCTTGAACGTACGTGAATTTTAAGAAACATTAATTCTTAAAACTAATTAAAGTCTGCGTCTAAAAATCACCAGTGATTAATTTAGGCTCAAATAGATGTTATTTCATTGTATTTAATTATTTTTTATAAACATCTTTCTGAGCAAGTTATAACCTACGGTATTTTAATCCGCATTTAGTTTTCATTCATAAACTACGTAAAAAATCCAATTTCATACTTGTAAAAATCAATATTTACCTAAAATTATTTTCCATTCTTACAAATAATATTTTCTAATATAAAAAGAAATATTTAATACGACTTTTTTATGTCAGTAATCACTTACCTAAGTACTTTCCACTTATTTAATTTAATAATGCAAATGGTCGTAGGTACATGTAATTTTGGCTTTACGGTAAATCAATGCCAGACAATTTATATTGATGACAAAAAAAAAATACTCTTCTTGTCGAAAGTCAGAAAAATATTTATTTGTTTATGAACAGATATAACAAATAACTATATTATAATGTATATAATTTTACTTACCATTGTAAATGCAGTATTAACTTTGAAGCAAATTACTCTAATCCAATATCTATATCATCACTAGAACACTACTCGTAATCTAAATTATTCTTCGTTATTCGAGAATATCAAAATACGAATATATTTGTCTATGGTACGACAAAAAAATATGCGTTCGTAATAATTCCCGCCAAAAATCGACGCAAATCGCACGCATGCGCGATGATGCCGAGCGGCTTGTAATCTGTACGGTGTTAACAATTCAACATCCAACCATGCGGCTCAGCCGCTCACCATCTAGCCCGATTCTTTCTCCCTTGAGAATAAACGCACGTGATGCGCCTTATGAAAGCATTCAACTGGCCGTGGGACGTCATTAGAACTTTTGCGCTAGTGGTTCTACAACTATGAATGGTTTAGGTAGACCTGTGAACATTACAAGAGTACTCTTTTGTGTAGCTATACCAGTATTTATAATCAGTGAGAGGAGAGGTAACTAATGATAGGTAATAGAAGTGTTCGTTTCTCGTAGCTTACAGTAGTTAAAGTAAACTGTAGTTATTTACAGTAGATATTTACTTAATAAAATACTAACTAAGGCCTGCTATATAATTATAAAAGAAAATTGCTCCCGTTTCATAAATGGGTATCATTATAAACAGAGGGTAAGTTATTTTATATTATCTATATATACATAAGTTAATTTATATTATTTATCTATATATCTATATCTATTATCTTGTTATTATTAATAATTTTGTTTATAACTTTAATAAGTAAGTACTATTTTCAATATCTACATTAGATACCTATGTAGATATTAATTATTATTGTTGAGATTTGATTTTCGCAAAAGGACACAGACTAATTTTTTGGTGAAAATAGTACTTACTTATTAAAGTTATTTTATTATTCTTATAAGTTTATTGCCCTGTACAGGATACAAGAACAAATATTTTAGTGTGATTTTTGTTTAAGTTAAGTTATAGTTAGTTAATGAATAAGAACATTTATAAGATTATAAATAAAAACTATCTGTTTCAGCGTTGCTGAATATGCATCTAATGATAATGTAATAATGGAATAGGTTAGTTAACTTTGCCAAATATAGTTTAGAGTAAAACATGGCGGACATTAGTCAAAGCTGGTCACCTCTTAACAACTTACATGTAATTGGATGTCTTTGTGTTACACGGAATAGAGTTCGCAGACCTTTTTATTGTTTAAATTCTTTGAAATGTACTTCACATAATGTAAGTAGGTATAATTTAAAATTACATACCGTTATTCTGAAGTCGTAACGCATAAAGTAGCAAGCAGGACCTAGTCAGTAGTTGCAAGTAGATATCAACCACAGAAGATTATTTAATGAAATTTATCATATATAATACATGTAGGTATGTTGGTATGTAGGCAATATATTATGGCAAAATGATGGTTCATGCGGTTATTCCAAATTTAAAGTATTAAAAATTTAAATATATATTTAGTAATGTCAAGTATATCTCCATAACAGAAGCTCTGCTTTGGACTAGATACTATTAGTTTGTACCTATCTATATGTAATAGGTAAATAATACGATGACATTTTTTAAAAACTGCCTAGGAATGTTTTTAACTTTATAGACTATAGTAAAACATAAGCATTTAATAGTATTCTTAAGTTTAATTTTTCGCACACGTATTCCTTGATAATTTTTTTTCCGTCATATAATGAAAACATTCAAATTGCATCAAACTTGAGTTTGTAAACCTCAGTTCTATCACCTACCTACTTCGAACTTCGAAAAGGTATAGATAATTATTTACAGTGACTGTCTGTCTGGCTTTAATTATAACATCACATAAATGCTGAGTGGGTGCCACAAGCAGCGTTAGAAGTATGTTTTAACTTTTAATTTATATAGTAAACATTATTGTAAATAGGAGTACTGATGTAATGCTGAATAAATGTCTTTATTATTAAATATATATAGATATTACTTTATATATTATTAATATTAAGTAATTAATTATTACACAATGCAGCATCACTGCTTTATGAACACATTCCATTGATACCAAAAGCACAGATAATATAATATTACATACCAAAAGTAAGCTCTTAACATACCTACCTACCTACATAGGTACAATATTAGGATTGGGTCTTAGGTATATTAATTAATACATGACATCATTATAGTCTTTTTAATTAAAACCTCTTTATATTTTACGTAATTTTAAACAAAAAGTGATATACCAATCATTTATTATTTGTGTAAGATATGATTACTGAAATAATGACATAATTTCTGTGATTGTATATTAATTTAAAATTTTATATCAATGTTTGATTTTATAGATAATGTACGAAATGAGTTGTTGTTTGAGTTTATAGAAATTTTAGATTTCGTGTCAGCTGGGAGTCTTAATTTATTCGACAGGATTACCGACAATTTAATATCTATTATAAGAAAACAATTGTATAAACCTAGATGTGGTGATAAATTTTTAGTATGAATTAAAGGAATAGGTATACTACAAAAGTAAAAAATAAAAATTTTTGGTAATTAAATATGGAAAATATGGAGGACCAAATATCACCAGCTGAAGGCATAATAACACCACAGATAGATGACAACAAATATGATAGTGATAGTGAAAATCAAGAGAAAGCAGGAGACAGTAATGAAAGAATGGCAGGTAAAGGTTTAGAGGAAGCTGAAGGTGAGTATGTTGAAGGGGAACATTTGGAAGGAGATCTTGTGGAACGAGAAGAGGAACAGGTAGAGGAAGAATATTTAGGAGAAGAACAAAAAGTTCTAAGGGAAGGAGACCAATTTATAGGCGAAGAACTTGAAGGAGAGCATACGGAGGGGAAAGAAGTAGATGAGCAAGAAATCCAATATGCAGAAAAACAACCTGCAGAAGTGACAGTTGAAGAGGAAGAACGCTATGTAGAAGAGTCACCACCAGACCCTACTGCTCCTTTTAATTTCAGTGATTCAAAAGAAGAATTGAGAGAACCTTTTCAATTAAGACCTGATCAATTGGCAGAACTAGAGCAATTATGGGATCTATATCAAAATTATACACCAGCCTATACAGACATTGACAAATATATAACAGAAAAAGAACTCGTTTATATGTTAAAGTCTATCCTTCTTATGACAATTACGTCAGAACAACTCCAAGAACTGATAGATTTTTGCGTGAGGCCACCACATCCGCATGGTCATATTACATTTCAGCAATTTCTTCGAATGGTAACCATACGACAAAGAGACTTCCTTATTGAAGACGAGCTACGGTCTGCTTTGCAAGTTTTCGATCCTGAGAGAACTGGAACTATTGATCGAGAATATTTAAAGGACGTTCTATTGATACAAGGACATAAAATGCCACAAAAACATCTGGATAATCTTATAAAAGAAGTCGATATGAGCAATGATGGTACAATTGGTATTGAAGATGTGGTCGGAACCATGTGTATTGATTTAAATAAAGAAGATTTAATGATGTTAATTGCGTCTGTATTTTCAAATGCAGCCGATAGAGTACCTGAAGAAAATGTATGATATAATCTACATCTTTATATTAAATACACTGAATTCAACTCATATTTAGTCGAATAAATCGCTATTGCCAAAATTTTTTCAATACATTCTTTTTTTTGTTTTGCCCACCCACAGTGCAATTAACAATACGTTTTATAAAAACTGACACTTTAGAGACCTTATGAGGACTGAGGCCAAAATTGATGCTATGTGACAACCTGTAATGGAGATGGGGCTGGAGGGTGGAGAGGACGATTAGTAACGGCGACTGGTGACTCTTTTGATAGCTTTAATATTTTTTATATTAATATCTAACCCTGGACAATATACTCTGCTCTGTTTAGTACCAAACTAGTATATCAGGTTGTTCTCCACGCAATCCTCTCTGGAAAACATCGTGGCGGATTCCAGGTGAGTTTGTAACGATGGGCTAAATAACCTGACTTTTAGTGTATCTTATTATTCTCCACTGGTTCTTATATATCATACTCCACTATGACATTTTTTTTTGTGTATGATAATGGAATCGTGTACCCGCCTACGCTAACGGTTTACGCTGGCGGGGCCAGTGGAGGTTGATAAGATGAGCATGAAGTCAGGTCAGTTAGCCGATCGTGACAAATTCACCAGGAATTTAACACGATGGTTTCCAGGGGGAACCGCGTGGAGGTCGACCTGACATGGTACATTGCTAGCAATGGGGACATTAAGCAACATTATTAACAATCCCCTTGCCCCCGGGTACGTGGGTTGCAAGCCTCTTAGGGCGGGAATTAACTTATAAGAAATCTAAAGTGAACTTAAACTAACTTAATAATTAGTGATATATGTGGGAACAATTATTTTTTCTTTTTTAGAAGTTTTTATTTCTTGTTTTTTTATAATTACTGAAATAAGGGTAATTGCAAAGTTCGCAGCACTGACAAGGGTGACTAAGGTTGTAACTGTAGCTGTCAAATGATTTAGCATTAACTGTCAAGCATTGATTTATTCTGTCTACGCTGTCAAGTTCCAGTTAGTGTTGTCATTATGTCATGTCTGTTTTCACAGTAATATCATATTTTATGTTCAAGATATATAAATTGAACTAAGAAAATGAAATGAAATAAATAAAACAAATATACTTAATTTTCGTATTAGCCTTTTCTAAAGAATAAACAGAAAAAACATATTTATTTGACATTTATGTTTTCCTTTTATCTGTGTTTCTATCAACAATGTTAGTATTGTTCTGTGCACTGAATTCAATCGGCTCAAATACAAATAACAATAACTGTCATTGCCAGGCGGCATCGTATGTATTTTTATTTGGAAAAGAGAATTAATGAACGTTTTGTGATCTATCAGAATTTGACGAGCCATGAAGTATATCTTGGCATTCCTGTTGTTAGCCACAATATATAATTCGTGTAAGATTCTGAATTTATTTTCTAGAGTACATACAACATAATGTTTGGGTGTGGTAGCCAGCATAAGTGGAACCTACCACAACATTGAGAATTGTTGTATATATATTACAATTTTCATACTGAGTGTTATTCTATATTTGCGTGTATCGTTGACTTAAGCTGCTTTCATTTTAGAGGTCTAAAGCAGATAATGTATTAAACGTTAAAACCACTCTCATTTTATTTTGTATGAATATGGAACGGTTCACTCAATTGTGTTAACGATATTCACTGGGGTAGGGCAAAAAGGACTAATGATAAAAGCATGAATTTAGTTCAGTTAGTGCATGGTTTATGAGATACTGGCACTAAAATTGTCTCCTGCCATTTTGTCATAATACCCATGAATATGTTATTATTATTAGAATTTTGATCAAAGCTTAGCAGACAATGGTTCCATGATCAGAGAGAAAAAAAATGTGTCTTGGTATTATTTCAGGTTTGGCAATATGGTGTTATCAGTGTTCATCTGCCACTCCTGGATGCTCAGAACCCTTCAACTGGAGGGGTGTAGGGTATTTAGGAAATCCATGTCCTGACAATGATGATTATTGTATTAAATTGATTGAAAGGAAAGGAGGTTTGTGAAATGCATGAAATTAACACATAATTTTCACTATTGCATTAATGATTCCACATTGTATCATGATGTGTAATACTTTTGTACTTTTGGTAAATTTTTACAGTCAAAGTTAATATAATCTAGTCATAACCAACATAGTTTTGTTACATATATTGAGGCTTTGTGAACTGCCTTATTTGAGTGACTAGTACAAGTTACTGGCTCTAAATAATGTGGTAGTGTTTTTATAAAAACCATTCTGGAGACTAATAAGGAATGCTAATTTTTATATTAATAAAATCAACTACTACTTGAGTATAATTTTTCAAACTCTCAAACTGGTGGATGTATTAGTTTTAATAATTACTCTGGACAATTCACACAGCGCCATCTAGTCCCAAGCTAAGCAGAGAATGTGTTATAGGTGCTTGACAACTGATAGATATACTTAGACACAATTTTTTTTTAAAACATAATATACATAGAAAACACCCTTAATGACCACAAACAATCATAATCATGAATAAGAATGTTTGGACTGAGCGAGGTATTAAAACTGCAACCATCAGAACTTAGTCAGAGTGCTAATCCGCTAGATCACTGAGGCTGTTATATTCATATTCTGTGAAATTTTGGTCTATTCGTATGTTGAACAATAACATACAATACATTTTTTGGAAGTAACTTTAATCAGTTTTTGTTTTTATATTTCAGCACAAACAGTAATCACAAGGGATTGTTTGAGCAACTTTCGAGCATTCCGAACAGACATTCCAGCTGATACATATGAGGGTTGCAGACCCGCAGCAAAGGATGTTAATTTGGCAAATTATGTCAATAACAGTATTAAAGAACTTGACTTAAAAAGGTAAGATAATAACTAAGTGACATTATATTTATTTAATTTTAGACTAGTAAGAATTTCCCTAAAGGTGTGCTATAAATATTAATATATTTAATTAATTTAATTATATATTTATGATTATTGGTTTTTAATATTATGTATAATGCAATAGAGGTAAGAACTGAAGAGCTGCTTGTTGGTAAGTCCTGATTCTGTTGAAGTTTAGAGATATGGGAGTGAAATTATAGGTTACTGAGTCATAATGTTTTACTCCTCTGGAATGGCGACGTTAGAGGGTCACAGGAGGTCTGAATGCCTGCAACTCAGCATCAGATGGGGTGTTCTGACAGTGTTTATTTTTCTTTAACTATAACTGGAATAAGTTACAGTTAAAGAAAAATAAAAATAATTGTGTATACCAGTACGAATAATTGTATGTTACATTTAAGAATCCATACCTATACAACCTGTGCTTGTAGTCCCTATACAATACAGCAATTACATCTTTGTTATGTAACAGATTGAAATCTGAAATAGATTTTTTCTGTGTTCATTTCAATGTAAATTCATGAGATTGAAATTCAATTGTGAATAACCTTGAGGCCTTAACCAGTGCTAGAGGAAGCTTCATTCTCATTGTATGGGGTGATATTAATATCTTATATATAAAATTCTCGTATCACAGTTTTCGTTCCCATATTCCTCCGAAACAACTTGACCAATTCTCATGAAAATTAGTGAGCGTATTGAGTAGGTCTGAGAATCGGCCAACATCTATTTTTCATCCCCCTAAATGTTAAGGGTACCCCTAAATTTTTTTTTTTATTTTTTAGGCAAAATTTTTAGTTTCTATTTTTTTATGATACAACATACAAAAATACATACAATCCTAAATTTTCACCCTTCTATCATCAAGCCCTATTTTTTTATAGCGTTATTAATTTATATCGCAAAACAACGTTTGCCGGGACAACTAGTATTAATATATAACAGTAGGGAAAAAATAATAATTTAAAATTTTACGTAAATAAGTGGCTACAGTGTCCAACATGATTAAATTCTTTTTTATTATTGATAATTTTTTTGCAATACATGTCTATTTTATTTTCAGGGATTGGTATGACGAGACAATGTGGTGTTTCTGTTTCCTCGACCATCGATGTAATGGCGTGACAAATGTTACAGCATCAATGGCGTTGCTAATGCTTTCAAGTATTGTGATGCTGGTCACAAATGTATCATTATTTTGATATTTTCTCACTTTTCAAGTAAAATTTGACACATGACAATAGGTATATTTCACCAAATATGAATTGTAATATAAATAAGTATCTATGTATATATATATATCAGAATTGTATAACATGTTTCTAATATGCCTTAACAATTTTACAAATGAAAGATTATGTTTTTTTTTGGTAAAATATCTTTATGTTTTAAATCATAACAAGGGCATGATAATTCTAATAGACTAGTAGAGAATCTCATTTTATGATTTAATTATATTGATACAAATATGTATGTAGATTAACTTGTACATTTAGTAGTAAAGTATAGTGTAACTAAAGTATAACTAACTCTTTTATCAAAGTGAAATGAACTTATTGTGCTTATATGTACAATGTTTTATCTTGTACTTTCAAGATTGATAGAGACTAGTATCGACTATCAAATTGATAGATTTTATATCAGGTTGATAGTATCAACCCTCATTCTAATATTTAAGAAGGACATGCCTATTTCGTGGTGATTTACACCAATAATCTAATTCAGGGTTTCTGAAACTTGTCTCACAAACATCTGTTAAAACTATCAGATAACAGTATACCTATTATCTAACTAATTATTTACTTCCTCTCTCCCTTAAGAAAATAAGATTTTTATATCAATATAAAAGGTAACAAATACAGTACCAAAATAAATATCTTTTTAATCTGTATTAATGTAATGGGTGGACTGTTGTGGATATATTTGTGCTGCTTTTGTACAAAGTACCAAGTGTACAAACCCACTATCATATAAATATGTTGTAGCAAAAGGTAAAAAAAAATTCACCGCCGTGCGTAAGAGTTATATAGGGTTACAATTACCATTCTTTAAATCTTGTCGCAAACGTCTTACATCCGAATGGCGTACATCGAGAAGAGTTCGCGTACTCCACTTTGATATACCCTGGTCTAATTCATACGGATTATTTAAGGACTTATTAATAATATCACTTGAATAATTCAAGGATTTTATTTACGTGACTGTTAACTATGTAGTGTCACCTTTTTAACAAACCCAATAACGCCGTGACGGTAGTGCGACATTCGTAGATATAACTCTATTAAACTATCTTTATCGGGAATGACACACGGTCGTCACGCTTGGCAGCACGTAGCCGATAGCCTGACTCAGGTCATAGGTATAGTTTAGTAAATTACAACTACGGTCCATTCAACTTCTCTTTTTATAATCATGATTTTGTTGTAAAAGGGCTATATACGAATGAATACATTGCCGTCGCGCGGCCACTTCTGTGCATCCCATTGCCAATATAGTCGTTAATATTTAATGTGGAGGTCTAAGAGAATTGATGTATATCTAAGACACAGATAGAAACATTTTCTTTCGTGATAGGTACTATAGAGTAGTTAGTTGTAATAGTACAAGTATCAAAGTGCCTAAGTAATTTAAGCTAATAACTGTTGCTAATCCATTTTTAAGACAATTATAATTTCTTGTTATAGTTACAAAAAATTTATATATTATTTACCTACATGAATGTATATATAAAGCCGGCTATTAATATGTATAAGGCAACTCTTACAATATCCTTTCTAAGAAATCGAGCGGTCATTGTATGCCACACAGTCTCTGTGTGACGACGGAGTCAAAAGTTCTTTACTTTTACGTTATCTTTTCTCTGAAATATTGTAATGTATTAAAATTATGATAATTATAAAATTACTATATATTATATTAATTATAGTATTATATTATTAAATTCGTATTTATCTTACTGTTTTATTAGGTTTAGTTAGACATTTGTAATTATTCCTGAAATAACTCCGTCCATTTTTTGTAATAGATTATTTTTTATCAATAAAATTGTAATTAATTATGCATAAGTTATTTTTTTCCAACCAGTAATAAAATATTATGTTATATTATTATTAGAAGAGCTTATTGGGATTTAATACGAATTATATAGCTACTAGCTGAGCAACTTTGTCTGCGTCACACTTATGACTTACATAACATTTATCTTATACTTATATTTCGCTCAATTTACATATCTTTTAAAATTATAGCCTCTGTGTTATTCTGATGTATAAGCTATATTACTGTAAAATTTTATCAAAATTCATTCACTAGTTTTTGCGTGAAATTGTAACAAGCATCTATTTGTACTCATAAACTTTCGAGTTTATAAATATTAATAGTATATACATTCCTTGAGTAATGTCAAGAGATGGAAGATAAGTGTCCTCCCAAAAATATGAATTTCCATCTGTAACAAAGAATGAAGAAGAAAGAAAGAAACCTTGCAAAAATTGTGGCTGTATATTGGCAGCAGGAAGTAGAGCCAATTGTGTGGTAAACTTGTCCTAGTTTGAAGCAATGATATCCGTCCCAAAAGATCTCATAATACAAAACAGCTCTAACTAGCTAGCAAGTCATGTCTGTCCCTTGAATTTTGACCTGGAATAGCCTCTATAGTGATTTCTAACTAGGCGGGAGTACATTTAATTGTAATAAACAGATGGACCACCCCTAGTTTTTTTTTATGGACGATAATGGAATGCACGAGCCTGTGCAAACGGTTTACGCTGGCAGAGCACCTGTGGAGGACGATAACATGAGTATGAGGTCGGGACAGTTAACCCATCGTGACAAATTCACCAGGATTTTATCACGATGGTTTACAGGGAAACTGCGTGGAGGTCAACCTGACATGGTACATTGCTAGTAATAGGGTCATTAGTCCATTTTACTGACAATCTACTTCCCCCCGACCTCCCGTAGTTATGCACGTATGTGAATGCATCATGCGTATGTTTATGAAGACATCTCGAGTTTATTTTGGGAGTGCTGGTTTTATGTAAGCACAGGTGCAAATTTCAAAATTATACAATTAATCTTGCAATTACGATCACGTGACAACTCGCAAAACCGATAATGGCCGTGTCTGAACGGATTGTCCTCGTAACTTTCAAACTATAATTCCAAATGGCTAAAGTACAACTAGCATCTACTTTAAATACAAAAATCGATATAAGTGGTTATCATGCTACGAATTAATTTAGTACTGTAATTTACACATTGTTAGTATCCAAATGAAATATTTTTATAGTTCACTGCTTTGGCTATATCTAACGGTTTTGCTATTAAGGAAATATATTTCCACTCTACATTTTACTCGTGTAACTTACGGTTTTTGCAGCGCTCGCCAGGAAGGCAACTAAATAGCAAATTTTTCGACTTACTTAACAGTTAGATATCATTATATTTCGCCCAATTTACACAATATCTGGTCAAGATCGCTGGAAGGCGACGGATGCGACCAGCGCAGGACTAATCGTCGAGGAGATCTTTGGGGGAGGCCTATTGGAGATAGGCCTGCCCCAGTAGCAGTGGACGTCTTCTGGGCTCAGATGATGATGATGATGATGACACAATATCTTTTTAAATTATAGGCTGTGTTATTCTGATGTATATAAGCTACATTATTGTACAGTTTAATCAAAATCGGTTAAGTAGTTTTTGCGTGAAAGTGTAACAAACACACATACAAACTTTCGCGTTTATAATATTAATAATAATAAGGAAGTAAGGTTTATTCTACTTTTTTTGGGGTTACATAGTAAAAATCAAATTATTATATTAATAAATCAAATTGATGTTTATGACGCCAGATATCTCAAATAGAACAAATGGTAAGATTATGACTTTAGTAATAATTCAATTATTTTTGTGCGGATTTTAATGCAGTTATTATTAGGAAGGAAATAATTTGAAGAAAGTATGTATATTTATGAAATTTTATTCACGACAAAGTCATCCATATATATAGGCACTAGCGAGTAACGAATAAAAAAGAAAGAATATTGATACTTCATTAACTGTACATTAGAGAATTGCAAATTGAATCAATATAACAAACATCCCGGTAAAAAGCGTACCAAATTTTACTAAAAGACGTGCGTTCATTTCCCACATATCATACACTGAGAATGTGGGTGGAATTTCTTCTAATATTTTATATATTTTCTTTGCTTTATTTCTGATTGATCCTACGGAAATAACACAATGTTTATGTTAATTAATATAGTCCGGGAATTTGGAACTAGTATTGCAATGGTAAAAAATTAAACTGTGCCCCATACTTATTGCTGAATACACATACATACCTTGACTACAGTACGCCATTATGGAAATTGACAGTTGTTTGGTTAGTTTTAACTCGTTGCAAAATAGTTCACATCGAAGACAAAGAAATATTATAGTAGCTGCATACACAATTGCTGTGAATAGTAGGTCCATGTATATTAGAATATCCACGATCTGAAAAGTGAGTGAGTGACATAATACTTTATTAAAAATATACCTACTGTAAATGTGTTTTGTTTGTTTACGAGTCTTAAATAAGTAAACAAAAAACCTCATTTTTCTAACCTATTCATAATTAAAAAATATATTGACTAGCTGTTCCTGCGGTTTCACCCCCGTGACTTGTACTGCCTTTGTGTTATTCTGATGCACAAGCTATAGGTATTATTGTAAAGTTTCATTACAATTCATTAAGTAGTTTTTCGGTAGAAGAGTAGCAAACAATCATCCATCCATCCATCCACATTCACAAACTTGTGCGTTTATAATATTTGTAAGATATAAATTACACAAAGCTGGTTCTATTTACCTATAGTGCATCAGCTACATCTATCAATTGCTATAAGGATTACGGCCACACAAACTCGGGCGCTTGAACACTATTCAGAGGCTTCCATGAGAAACGGATCAATCAAATAGACATTTTTAATACATAAGTCCCAGAATACTTACGTTATGTTGTACCAGTAAGATCATAAATTGGAACGATTGTACACCATATATAACGAGCTTGCTGCAAAACAGTAGCATCTGCGAAATATGGGAGGGATACACATATTACACATATTATTACAACTAGAATCAACCAATATGCTGTTATTATGAATTATGAATAGTCAAGTTATTGAATACCTACTGATATTACTTTAGTATTCAGTTTCGATTCGAGATTAGTGGTAATTTTAAGGTCCTGTTTCATTGGCAATATTTTCTTGTCATTTGTAACAGGCTATAGGCATAAAAACAATTTGTAAGTAAAGGATAGGTCGGTAATAGGGTATCTACTACTATATTTTAACTTACCTGAAACATATAAATATTCTGATAGTGCGAAAACACATTCAATAGTTTCTTCAAATACGCCTGAACTTCGAATGACTTTAAATCTAAGTTTTTAGTTTCAATTTGTTTGAATAGTATTTTCACAAAGTAACCATTATGAGACGGTATTGTAAGGTCAATGGTATCTTCTTGATACTCTTTATTCAAATGGTTCTTCAATATCCTATTTAGGATACGCAAGTGCATTGCAAAGTATACCATGAGATTAGAGTAATGACTTGTCTCGAGTAAAAATGTTACATCAGTATATATTATTCCAGTTATACAGATCACTTTCTTCAATCTGTCAAAACTTGTTATAAAAACTAATAGAAACGCGAACAGCGTTATAGAGACTGTTGCTATATTTAACTTATAAATACAGTTATAAAGATTTTTATCAGTATTGTCTATGATGAGGTTATCTAGCTGTTCCATTTTTATGTATAATTCTTTATGTTTCTTGTTATTTAAAAACCTTGCACCCACAATGTAAACAAAATGCAGAAGCGTTTGAAACGTTGCTATAGAAGTGCATAGGAAAAATATATCTCTATAATCCTTAAATTGGATGTAAAAAAAGTTTATCAATATGCAGTGTACAATAAGTACAAAGCATGAAAGTAAAATTGTATATAATCTTTGATACAACGTCGGTGTAGTCACGAATCTGTTTCTGCAATCGACTCGGCAAGAACCAACTACATATTGACAACAACGAATAGGAGCAAAGGATTTTAACAAATCCTCACTGATCAAGTCTCTTGAGTGGTTCGCGATTGAATTGGAGTTGCTTTCTTTGTTTTTCATCTTGAGTAACAAATAATTTTCATACTTTTCCTTTGTGCAACATGTTCCACTTAATATGAATTTTAACCGATATTATTTTTAATTCGTACCTAAATATATCTACCACAGCTTTTGCTGTGGTAAAAAGTAATATTGTTCATTACTAACAAAATTAGTGTTGACCTACGATAAAAGTTTTCCAGTAATTGATTGATTGTGATGTATTTCGTGGTGTAGGTACCTGTCTAGAACACCAAGTAAATAAATAATGGAATAAACAATAATCTAAGTAATTGTATCGACAATCAAGTCAAATCAATATAGGTAGATATAGAATATACCTACTATACACAAATTCTTTGTAGTCACATTATAATTTATTAATTTTGATACAACATAAATACAATATACAATACACACTTAATTTATTTGTAACGAATTTTAACGTATATTTTGTGACGACCTAATACTTTCGTAGTAGGTAGGTACCTATATCGTACTTAATACTAAAGCGATTATATTTCTGTTTCGTTTTGATATTGAGTGAATCCCATGAACTTGTTAACATTTTTTTAAACTTCAAACACTTGAAACACTTAAACTTAGAGGAAAGTAAATTGCAGCAAAGTAACAAACATTCTGGTTACAATGTTTCCGAATTTGATTAAAAGCCGTGCGTTCATTTCCCACATGTCGTATATCAATAATTTAGGTGGAGTATCTTCTAAAATCTTATATATATTTTTTGCCTTCTCTCTTATGGGGCCTGGAATAAATATAGTTATTGTTACCATGTAGTAGTCTGCACTCGATTAGCACTGGAACCCAATGTGGTATCTGATATAATGAATAAATTTACTTTATCTTCGTACAAAACAAAATGTTCTTAAATATAAGTACAAGTTTACACGTACGCTCTTTCGGCTATCAAGCAGGAAAGCATAAACCGCGCGCGCCGCAAACTTGCATATTCGAACCTTCTTCAATCATGAAAAAATCAACCATTTTAGCGCCTTTTTGTAATAATAACTAATTATCATTGCAAAAACCTATATATATAAATATCAAGCGCGGAAGATTGATCGCAAAAATAATAAAATGCAGTCACACACGGCTGTGCGCACATTTTTTCATGCGCGCTCCTGATCGCGTGTGAAAAATTGTGTCATGTATGCTAAAAAAAAGCGGAGATATTAATGTTATTTTTTCAAAAGATTTAATGAATAAATTAAATATATTTTCTTAAACTAATAGACACCTACCAATTATTGAAACTATCAGTTGTTATGTACCTATATTTAAGAACATCTATGTAAACCGCCCCCCGTTTTCACGGCTAACCTTACCAATCAAACATACTGTTTTCACATTTACATGATTTCATTATATAGTAACTATATCCGCGGTTTCACTCTCGTTAAATTTCAATATAAAATAAAGCCTATGTGTTATTCTGATCCATAAGCTATTTTACTGTAAAGTTACATTAAAATTCGGTCACTACCTAGTGTATGCGTGAAAAAGTAACAAACATTCATACTTATAAACTTTCGCATTTATAATATTAGAAGATAATAAATATTAATAATAATAATAAGATAAAGAGAAGGAAATAAAGATACTTCTAGATACTTTACCGTACATGTAGTTCGACATTATAGAAATAGATAATCTTTTTGTCAGTTTAATCTCTTTGCAAAATAGTTCACATCGAAAACATAAAAAGAATGTTATAATTGTATGCACTGTTGCTGTACAAACTATGTTTATAATTAGTACGATGTCCATGACCTGAAAATATGTTAGCAAAAGAATACAAGTTATATCCCAATTATTTTAGTGCATTTCTACACAAAATTATTGGGACTTAGCTTGTATTAGTAAATGAAAAAAGTTTGTTACATATATGGTGTATATTAAGTAGTCAAAATGTCTTATGTCCTATATAACACATAAAATGTACGTAGGTATGTGAGAAGGAGCCAAGTACGTGTCAAAAATGTCTTAAAATTGGAGGCGATATTGAGGTAATGGTGGAGATCGCCCTAGAACCCTTCCTAGGTCGCCTCGTATGTAAAGAAATTAGGGCCTATTCCTCAGACTGTGGTTGCCAAGCCGAATTTTTCACTACCACTATTGATCCGATATTGCCCGAGTAATAAAAAAATATCTTTCTCATATATGCTATCATAAATAAATTTAGCCTAATTTTTAGAATTGAAATAATTAGTAGGTATTGCCTTAGTTCATGACAGTTAATACATGAAAATACTTACGTTGTTTTGTACAAGTAAAAGTATAAATTCAAATGACGATATTGCGCATATAATAATTTTGAAACAGAAGAGAAATATCTGCAAAACAAGATATACGAACTGCCTAAAAAATAATAATTATGAGTACTAAGTTGATAAGGTAAAGTAATTATTGCATTTATTGTAAGTGCGTTTGTAGGAAAAAAATGTGTAATACTGTTTAGTAATAAAATTATTATAATGTAACTAAATCTAGACCATTGAAGAAAGTAGTATACATTCTATAATCGTGAATGTTCATTCAGAATTTTGAGTACGAAAGCGAAATATGTGCAGATATTATTTAAATGTTATTGTTGTGCAAATATTAATTGTTGTTTGACAGAAGGCGAAATTTATTTCAGATATTTTAAAGCAGTTGTGTAATCGCTTACCTGAAACATATAAATATTTTGATAATACGAAAATACATTCAAAACTTTCTTTAAATAAATATGAACATCAAATGATCGTAAGTCGCAGTTTTTCATTTCAATAAGTTGGAAAAGTTCTTTGCCATAGTATCCGCTACTTAATGGTATTGCCAGATCTATAATGTTCTCTTTAAATTCTTCTTTCAAATGATTTTTTATTATACGATTTACACAACGCAAGTGCATTGCAAAGTATACCATAAGATTTGAGTAGTGAGTAATTTCGAATAAAATTGTCATATCCGTGTAAAACATTATAGTCATATTGATTACTGCTGTAAATCCTTCAAAACTTGATAACAGAGGCAACAGTAATGTCATTAAAATTGTTGTTACTGTTACTATGTTTAATTTATAAATGCAATCATAAAGACTCTTTTTGTTGTTGTTTTTTATAAAATTATCAAGATCTTGCATTTTTATATAAAGCTCCTTGTGTTTTTCATTATGAACGAATCTTACATCTATAATCGTCAATGAGTATATTAGTACTTGGACATATATCATTACAACGCTTATAATGTATAAGGTTTGATAATCATGAAATATGACATTTAATACTTCTATGAATTGAAACTGTATTAGTAATACTAATATTAGTAGAAAAATTGAATACAATCTTTGATATAACGTGGGGGTAGTCACAAATCTGTCTCTACAGTCGACACGGCAAGTTCCTATTATTAATTGCCAATAACGAGTAGGGGCAAACGATCGTAATAAGTCCTCGTCGATTATATCTTTAGAGAGATATTCGGTTGATTTCATGTTATTTTGTTTGCTATTTTTCATCATAGTTTTTTATTTAGATTCTAGATATTTTATGAATTCTGTTTGTCTTCTTCGGCCTTGGTTTTTATAATTCGTATATTGATATATTTATCTTTAATAAAATAATGTTTACTTGTAGCTTATACTAATAACATCGAGAATTGAGTGACCGTTAATTTCTAACACACTAGTAACTGACAATAGAATTAGGAAGGACTCGATTAATTGATTGACTTTTATATTTTTTATATCTACGAACTTTTTCAATTAATTTACTTGTACTTTAAGTGATTAAATTGAAAAAACTGTTTCCTTGTTATAACAAATAAATTGTATATATTTCTTACAATAAAAAAAGTTATAAATGATAACAAAATTAAAGTAGACTTACATTTTTTAAATTACTTATAAATAATTCAGTACAAGGAGGTACACATGTTTTAGAATATTCTTATCATTCTTTTTTATCATATGGTTGCTCACAACTATCCTCAGTTGTGTTATACCTATCAATAACATTTTTATATTACCGACATTTTCTTGTTGTATTTTTTTATTCCATGGGCTATTTATATATATATTGTTTAATATTTTTAAATATAATGATTATTGGGAAGTTTCAGAAATGATACGTCGATACAGTAGTACATTTAGTTTATTCCTTTCTTCAAATTACACTCCACATAAATTGCGTCGCTGTACATTCACGACTGGTCGTCTCGGTCGCCTCGAACAAAGAGGGCAGCCCGCTCCTTCCTTGTTCCCGGCCTCTTTATCTCTATTCCTATTGGTGGCGGCATAATCGTGACGCCACCAACTTCACGTGACTTACTATGGCTTTTAATGAATGAAATGTAAGTAACAAATTAGTCAACCGAGTGTTCTTTAGGTATTGAAGCTAACAGCTCGGCCATCCTGTTCGAAGCGAGTCCCTGCGCGCCATTACGACCAGGCATGGTTATGATCAGCATAAATTGAACAATTATGTAATGTTTATTATTTACAACAATAACGCTAGCATACTCAAAACGTCACTATACGAAAATTAATATAAACTGAAACATTTATAAACAATTATATAATAGAATAACAAAGATATTTTTTCCTTAATAATAATAACAACATTTTATTTGCAAATATGGATAATCAATAAGGTGTTACAACAGTTTTGCTATATATTTCGTTTATATTATCTCATGAGGTGTGCCAATTTAATTGGTAAGTTCATACAACATTCAAAAGAACAACTATTTCCCTTTATTATATGGTAATGATAATCTTTATTAACAAATATAAATAATAATTTATTATATTTAGCCCTGACTTTCGAATTAGGTAAACCTGTGCCACAAAAGCCAGTATGTTGGAGGGGAAACCTCCAACACACTAGACACATTTTAAACATTTTAGTAAATCGTTAAATGTCTTTATATTTATATTGATTTCTACAGATCTAACCATATAAAATACCTAATGTAAAACTAAAAATTATCAATGTAACAAATAAGAAATACAGACCCAATACAAATACCCCTGAACAGTCACAACAATTCGCTCGTCAAAAGAACGAGCAAGTAACCTGCGCTTTGCTTTTTCAAACAATTGCTCAGCATCACATATTTATGATCTTGTGCGAATACAAACTTTCAAATAGCAAGATTGTCATAATTAACATTTTAATTAGTTCGGTATACCTATTTTGTAGTTGTTTAACGTCAAATAACTGTCTCTTTAATATAGACATGAAAATTAGTTAACAGTTATCATGTAAATCGTCACATGTTTTCAAGATTCCTGAAATATACTTAGTAATTGTAGTTTGTTTAAAATATACATAATAATAATAAAATATACAAAGATATATTTCTCATCCAATAGAGATATTATTTTTTTCAGTCCATCCGCAATTCCGTATACATAGATGTGTACCCATGGAAAGTCAACGATTCATTCAATCCATTGTTAAGGAATTACCGTAATACTAATAGATCATTAGTCGTCGGCACTAGGTTACATTAATCTGCACACGATTGATAAATTGTAAGAGTTTGCGAAATTTTGTAGAACATTAAATAACAAAACAAACTAGAACCTAATAAAGTAATAAACCTATAACATTTTTTTTTTTTATATATACGTAGTTATATGAAGTGTCACTTATATTACGCAAAGTGGAGTCTATATACAAAAATGCATATATCAGACATTTGTGGGGTTCATGAACTTTAGAAATAATATATTAATGAAAGAGGTTAGAGCAATTTTAAAAAATACCAACATTCCATGGATACACCACCGTGAGGACACCTGGTCCATCGTGTGGCAGTGAGGGTTTCTCCGAGCAGTTAGAGACCCCTTTGCCGACGGATACGTCAACACCCTCAACCCTCGCGACTCTTTTTTTGCCCAACCAAATCAGGTAGGAACCTGCCAATGCAAGTTTACACATTCCAGTATAGAACTCACTATAGTTCTATACAGGCCAAGATCTTTTGGAAGATCGTCGTGAGATTTCTGGTTTACTTCTCATTTTCACCATAACTATAGATTAAACGCATAGTCATATTTCATTAGTTCGATTATTAGTTCTTAATATTTATTTGTGAAACATGTAATAAGAATTACATGTTTCACTCGTCTTTGTTTTCCATAATACAGGAATCTCTACCAGTATTATACATTTAGTTTCTTGAATAAATAATTTAATTGTATGGAAAAGGGAATTATTTAATGAATTAGTTTTTCTACACTAATTGAAAAAGCATATTTATTAATTTTTAAACAAAAGTCTCAGAGAAAGATCATCTATAATATATCGAAAGTCGTCTGAAAATCCGCGAGATACAACTTAGTATTTATGTCATTTAAGATATTTATTCAAACTGAAGAATGTTTATGAATGGTAATTTCCTCAAAATTGGCAAAATAAAATTCCAGATTACTAATAGCACGAACAGTGGAAAATATTGCAAATATATATTTTTTTGTTCTACGGTAAAAGATAATGAATATATTTCCATTTAAGGGATTATTTCTAACTTAAAAGGACTTAAAGGTATAGCAGAATATAAGCAGCGCGTAAAAGTTGCTTTACTTAAATAACTATTTAAGTGGTGAGACCTAGAAACTTAGATAATATTCCTATTACAGCTGATAGTTATGAGTAACTAGTCAATTTTAGTTTCGAGATATGACATTTGAATAAAAATATTTACGAAATCATACATTTAAGTCAGATTCAACAGATCGATATTACAATCGATTATTCATGTGCTTTGTTTAATTATTTCTGTAGTAACTTAGAATGTGATAATAATTGATTTAATGATTTAAACGAGATCCAAAAAAATATTGACAACTAATGGTAACCATTGATATCACGACGACTCCTTTACCAACATTAAAACAATTTATTACAATTATAGGTATAGGGTATATGGTTTATAGAAATTATTTAAATAATCCCGTCTTTGTTTAAGAATGATCATATCATTATAAACCACATACATTACACGTCACTCAAGTTCAGTGTAACAGCTTAGGTATTACAAAACATTAATAGTCAATTTCCGGTTATTAACAGTTAACTGTAGGACAGTTTCGCTACTAAAAGATTGTCCTCCCAATCCAATTATTAATTACAAGAAGATATTATTCAGTAACGTATTCGTAATATACATACTGCAAGCGCTAAACAAATGCTACAGTGGACTTCTCTTGTTCAATTTGGTTAACACCCAATTTGTCGTAAAACCGTAACAAATAGATTTGTTTTTGTGATATTAACATAGAATAGGTTATCTATCTACTACACCCTTTATACTATCAGTACATACACCCTATAACCAGGGATTGTATTAAAATATTGTAATTTATATTATAATATTACTTGTTAATGCATATGCAATGACTGAGTACCTGGTGATACGTAACTTTTAAATGACGAGCTGGATTTGATGCCGTGGTTTCTTTAGCTACGCCTTCCTTCGGTTCACTTCGCAGCGCTGCCCAACGGCGATGTACTTCGCCGATACAAAATAGGACCATGAGGCTACACGATTACTTCTTTACTAGGACCCTGGCCCTCTCACCTGGGCACTCCTGGGTAAAATCTAGGCCTCCCGCCTCGGCACTCCTGGGTCAACCCTGGCCCTCTCGCCTGGGCACTCCTGGGTACCCTGGCCCTTTCGCTTTGGTACTCCTGGGTCAACCCTGATCACCTGGACCCTGTCCCTGTCACCTGGGCTCTCCTGGGTCATTATCGTATCCACCAACTACCTCATCGATTTGCTCGGATTTTCCAATGGACAATTCGTCTCGTTCCATCACTGAAACTTAAAAGTTTAATCCATTATACACTGTTTCGCATACAATATACACATATATAACCACTTAAGTATGAACCAGTCTTCCTCTTCGTTTTAGCAGGTCTACTATGCAGTTAAACATTATTTATGAAAACTCATAAGGGTAGCAATAGCAAAAGTCTATACAATATACCAGTACACAATATAACGGTCCAATTGAATATACCATAAGTATGTTTAAAATATATATTGCATAGTAATACATCAATTTTGATACAAACTGTAATTATGTTTGAGGAATTATTTCGCAAGTCCATATTCAAAGTGTACCAGCACCAAGATTGGACGTTCGTTACTACGCCCAATGGATTGATGCATTTTTTTTTATTCGAAATATAAAACTATATAACAAAACTTCTATTGTCACAGTTTACTCGCCGAATAGTCTAACACAAGACTTTCGAGCTATGTATATTCAAACTCTATTCAATGCATGATGATGCCCCAATAACGGTCGATCCGTCTAAATTTCATCACTAATAAAGAAGGTCGTAACGCTCCCAGTAGCAGTGATCAGACTTCCGCACTCAACATACGTGGTCTCAAACATGCTCACAATAGCAAAATTATACACAAAATAATATAGGCCTATTAAGTAATGAATCAAAGACTGTTATGTTGACAAATCACAGTCTATTTCGTACACAAATATTTTCTATTGCCGTTTAGTGTGTCAATAATTTATTTATTTATTTGCACACAAAATAAAATTACTACCATTACAAGAATTTTCCAAAAGCCTGCAATTAGTATAATACTGGATTGTAGACCCATACCACAATAACCTAGAACTTACATTTAATACGGTAAATAACGTTAAATAATCAAATATACATGGAAAGTAAATAATATAGGAGTACTGCAACGCAATTAATAATTTTTGGTAGTTTATGTTGTCTTTTACATAAAAGGCTCAAATTGAAACATTCCACATATACATATATTGTAATCTGCAAATTGGCAATCCCAGATATATAAGTCTTTAATCAATGTCTGAACATTTTGAATTATATGTGTACCATACAATATTATAGCTCCATATCTGAATTATATTCAAGTACACTAGATAGCGTCGCGTGAGTAGTAAATGCAAATAAACTTTATCGGAAGAATGCTGCCGAATATGTGTGGTAGATGTAGTAATGACGACAGTAAAACGATAACTGCACTACTTACAATCGTTATCCATTCTAATCGCGTTCAACAGGTACTTCTTATTATTTTTGTACCTTCAAATTTATAAACATAATTATTGCTTTTATTGATATTAACAAAATCCATTGTACCCATTACAAGACACCGCAATATATATTTCATATATGTATATATTCAATTACCACAACCCGCATGATGGCGGGCGAACTACTTTCCAGGGAGTCCTGGTATCCTGTCGGAACCGGCCATCGCCGCATCTTAGACGTTATTATTATTTTATTTTTTTATTTATTTAATAACATATTACAATGTGTTAGCATTTGTATAGTTTTTACTACTAATAAATTTATCAACACTATAAAATTACTGTTCCAAAAGTAAAGAACGCAACCTGCCGTCATAAAGTTTCCCATTGTATACCATCTTTAAGAGCTTCACAATATTAAAGGACGATTGTATAATGGTATAGGGTAGTCCATCTACGAGTATTGGCCGTATGTTACTAGCGATTTTCACACATATCATTACTAAGAAGGCTCTTTAAAAAAAATATACTTTATTTTCAGACTGGTTCTCTTGACCCGAAAGTATAAATTATGATTTAGAGTGCATAACTTTTTAGAATTGAGATTTACGGCATAACGCGTTTGCATGCCATAGAATAGCCCTGGTAAGATGCAAACGTAACCATCCCTGTACGTCCATAAACTGATACTATATCATGCAATCACAAATAGCCAAATAATGAATTTAAAAATAAAATTATGAAAGTCATATTTGGAACGTCACGCATGGAACATTGATATTATTTCGTTTTGCTGTTATACATTTGTTTTTTCACTTCTCGAACATTCCGTGGCGTCACTATTGAATTCAGTGTACAATAAATTCTAACCATTTCTTTTCTTATGGAGAAAGAAAATATAAATGTTACTTGCATTTGTAGGCGTGGCAAGAATCCAATATAGATCTTGTTGATCCCAATTCTGAAACTATTGGGAAGTTTCAGAAATGATACGTCGATACAGTAGTACATTTAGTTTATTCCTTTCTTCAAATTACACTCCACATAAATTGCGTCGCTGTACATTCACGACTGGTCGTCTCGGTCGCCTCGAACAAAGAGAGAGCAGCCCGCTCCTTCCTTGTTCCCGGCCTCTTTATCTCTATTCCTATTGGTGGCGGCATAATCGTGACGCCACCAACTTCACGTGACTTACTATGGCTTTTAATGAATGAAATGTAAGTAACAAATTAGTCAACCGAGTGTTCTTTAGGTATTGAAGCTAACATGATTAAGAGCTTTATGGCCTTATAGTTTACTGCCACTATGTTAAAATCTTTCAAAGTTATCTTTCAATAGTTCAATGCAGTCATCGATCAGTTGACAGTGCCTCTGACTACCCCAACTAGTATGAAAGTCGTAGAAGTATTATTTATATATATTTTAGTCCCATTACCTAGCTGTACTTATTATGGGAAAAGCAATAAAGACTTAATTTAATTCCATTGACGCAACCCTAAAAGAATCATCACAAACATGGTCTGTGAAAAACATAGACTAATTTATTGAAGTTCAGGATATATACTGCTCTTCAGAGCTGGTTTATTCTACAGCACTTATTATGATTAGGTAGGTGTAAATAAAGTTTTGTATTTTTTAAATATAATTTTAATGCTATAATCCCGTATGCTTAATTCACAGATACGCAAACTGCAGTATTGTTACAAATAGCCCACTAAATAAATATATAATTTTTAGTGAAAGTTTCGCATCCATATGCCACATGTCGTAAATTATTAACCTCGGTGGAGTTTCCTCTAGTATCTTGTACATCTTCTTAGCCTTTTCTCGCATTGGCCCTAGTGAAATAAATAATTATTTCATTAATTTACAATAATTATTCTTTATCGTATAGGATACTTAGTACTCAGTAATACGTACCTGAGCCATTGGGTGTTTTTCATATGTATGCTCTTGGTATTAATACCACTATGTAAATACCAAGGAATAAACATACCCAACTACATTACGCTACAGTAATAATAATAATAACAAAACAGCAACTATACAAAGCACAATGATAATAACAATCTAATACTGTGACTCGACATAATTTGTTACCGCTCTGTGAAACTCTGTGTAAATGTTATTAAATAAGTCAAGTTGTATAAAACGGCTCACCTGGTGGTGTGATTATTACCTCCGTTTATAATGATGATCAACACCCGAAACACTTAGGGAATTGCAGGCTTTTTAAGGAGTCCCTCCCAAGTATTTTCTTAATATTTTCAATAAATACTTAATAAGGCTTCTATACTATAGGTAAGATAATGTGTGCACATGTATTATAGGTAAATATACATACCATTCTGATGTATCGACATTAGAGTAATTGATAAACTTTTAACTACTTTTATTTCTCTGAAGAAGAATTCACATTGGAGACACAAGTATTGTATTGTATATGTATATACTATAAACATAGTTCCTATTACTACAAGACCTGGTAAATCTACAGCCTGAAAAGTGAATTATAATTCTTTTATATATTGAGTTATAGAATAGCTGCTCATATTACTATATCTCTATGTCAAGTTAACCACCACGTGGGTCCCACTGGAAACCATTGTAGTCAATTACTCGCGAAGATGCGTTAACTGGCCTTTTTTAGTAAATAGACAATGTTTAAAAAATCTAGGCAAAGGAAAATAGGTACTAGACACTTACTCTCTAAAATTTCTATGGTATACTGACAAAGAGCTTAAACGTTGGAGTCGCTGAAGTTATTCGGACTATGTGTTTAACAGACTCGACTTTATCTTCATCATATCACCCTTCCCTGGCGCTTCTATAACGTATATCGACACGTAAAAAACATGTTATGCAGTCGTATTTTGTTGAAATTGTCTCCAATGTGGTAGGTGCTAAATTAAGTAAGCTATGTATTGCCCTTCAAGTAGGTACTGCATTGCCTACTTTAAGGGTAATACATATAGATAAATCCGGGTAGTTGTAAAGGGTCAGTGCCAGTGAAAATTTTATGAAAAAACAACATTTCTAATGAAATTAAGTGGAAAAGTAGATCAATTTTTAAATATTTGATCTACGCGGTCTGTTAACTGATTTATCTAATTAGTTGCTTGGTGAATGTAGTTTAAAATCATCAGTACCTCCAGTACCTTTGGGATTTAATAATGTAATATTTGATACTAGTTTATTTTATTAGTATTTCTATGCTACATTTTACTTACATTGTTTTGTAAACTGAGAATTAGGAATTCAAATGATAATACACCGTACACCATAATTTTGAAAAAAAGTAGAAATATCTGTAAAGTAATAAGTATAATCTGTAAAGTAATATATTCAGTACCTAATCAAATTGTTAAAAAAATTAATAAATATTAAAGTAACTTGAACGACAGTTACAATAACGATCTTTGTAGATAAGCTAGTATTTTGTAGTAGGTTGATGTCATTTTAGATATGGACAGATTTTAAATTGGGATACAACTTAGTACATACATATATTGTAGATTATACATATATTCCCAATCTTTATTATATTAACTAAAAAATAATTTGTAATAAATAAATCTCACCTGAAATTTGTATATATTTTTAAAGCATTCAAAAACTGACAATAATTTTTGAATATACACATCAGTATTGTTATATCTGTAGTCGTAATAGTTGTGTTCTAACTCTTTGAAGTATTGTTTGAAGCTTTTGTAATTAGGCATTACACGGTCTAAAATTTCGTTCTTCACCACATCTTGTAAGTATTTTGTTAATATACAGTTGACAATGCGTACACGAAACATAAAATATACCATAATATTGGAGCAATGATTTGCTTCAAATACAAATGAGGAATCAATGTAGAGTACCGCAATAGATATCAACAATGCAAAAAATCCTTGAGTGCTTGTAATAACAAGTGCTATTATATACATCACGAATATTAAAACAATTGTCAAAATATTTAGTTTATACATATTGTGATTTAAATCGTTATTTTTATTAGATGCTATTTTCAAAAGATGATCAAGTTCTTGCATTACTACATAGAATTTAACGTTGTCTTCACTCCTACAGAATCTTACGTGTATAATGTTTATAATATACGTTACTATCATACAGAAAGCCAACAACAAAGGTAAAGGGTATATGTTTTGATATTCATGAAATTTCAGATTATAGGTGTATATTATTTTGGAGAATGCTGAAACTATTAAAACCACAAGTACTATTGAATACAATTTTTGGTAGATTGTAGGTGGTGTCACAAATCTGTCCCTGCTGTCCACTCGGCATGTACCTAATATTAATTGAATAAATCGAATGGGCGCAAAAGAACTCAAGAAGTCTTCATCCATCATCTCACTTGAGAGATACTCTGCTGAGTGTGTATTATTATTATTTGTTTTAGAATCCGACATTATACTGTAATACTATTCCAGATGCCGTGAAATTATTTTATGGATGGTAGAATGTGTTAACTTGTAATTAATTGATTGTTTATACCTTTATGTCCTTAATTGATTAATATTTTATTTTATGAATCGAGTGTTGTATACAGCGTGTATCATAATAATGTATTCTCTGAAAGTAGCTTTAAAACAAAACTTTGAAAAAAATAATGTACCTTATTTTAAACATATAGAATACTTCTAAATTTATGTAAAAGTTTTTGCATTAGAGAACAAGCCTTAATATTATAAACCTACGTATATTATATAGGCGTAATATAGAAATAACAGAGTTTCTATATCTAAAATAGTGTATTTATTACTATATTCTTTCTAAATATAATGCGATTAAAAATATAAATAATATCTATATAAAAGTTAATGCTGCTACTCTTTATATAAGTATGTACTTTCAAAACAAGAGTTAAAATGAGTTTCTTTTTATGAAGAAAAGAACCTACTATATAAACAAATGTGTATAAAATAATTATAGCGTAATTGAAATAACTTACTTAAACACAATTAAGTATGTTTTTTATTATTTAAGTATCCTTTTCTCATGTGTGACTATATGGCTTTCGCCATAATCGCTCAACTGGTGATCTTTTAGTGTATCTCACACACCGTTGGGCTCTTGCCATCGAGAGTAAAGGTGAAGCATTGGCAGTCAGCCTTGACATGGCGAAGGCATTCGATCGGGTTTGGCATCAAGGTCTTCTATCGAAATTGCCCTCGTACGGTATACCAGAGGGATTATGCAAATGGGTCGCTAGTTTTTTGTCTGGCAGATGCATCAAAACCGTAGTCGACGGTAGTTGCTCCGATAGCATGGACATTAACGCTGGCGTCCCGCAAGGCTCCGTTCTCTCCCCGACACTGTTTTTGCTGCATATCAATGATTTGTTAACTACAGTTAACATTCATTGTTATGCGGATGACAGTACTGGGGACGCATTTTACACGGGCCGTGCTAATATCACTCTTCCCGTTGTAGAGGCAAACCGCGAACAGCTTGTGTCTGAAATCGAGAGTACTCTTACCAGAGTCTCCGATTGGGGGCGACTGAACTTAGTTCAATTCAACCCTATCAAGACACAAGCCTGCGCGTTCACCGCTAAGAAAACCCCTTTTGCTGTGGCTCCGCAATTCCAGAACACGTCCATTACCATCTCTAAGAGTATTGGGATTCTCGGTATCGACATCTCTAGCACAGTTGAGTTCCGTAGTCACCTCGAAGAAAAGGTTAAGCTGGCGTCCAAAAAACTCGGTGTGCTCAATAGAGCGAAGCGGTATTTCACTGCGGACCAGAGACTCCTCTTATATAAGTCTCAAGTTCGGCCGCACATGGAGTACTGCTCTCATCTTTGGGCAGGAGCACCTGGATACCAGCTCGGTCCTTTTGACTCGGTTCAGAGACGTGCTATGAGAATTGTCGATGATCCCAATCTCTCTGACGGTATCGAGCCACTTAGTTTGAGGCGAGACTTCGCTTCGCTTTGTGTGTTCTACCGATTATACAACGGACTGTGTTCTGAGGAATTGTTCGACATGATGCCTACGGCCACCTTTCACCATCGCACCGCTCGCCATCGACAGGGAATTCATTCCCACACGCTGGAACCTAAGTGGTCTCGGACAGTGCGGTTTCAGAGGAGCTTCCTCCCGCGTACACTTAGATTGTGGAATTAACTTCCTGCCGAGGTTTTCTCACGAGACTACAGCATGGGGTTTTCAAGAAGGGTATATTAAGGTTTCTTAAGGGTCGGCAACGCGCACGTGACACCCCTGGTGCTTCAGGCGTCCATAGGCTACGGTAACCATTTACCATCAGATGGGCCGTATGCTTGTTTGCCACCATAGTAGTATAAAAAAAAACTATAAGTTTTAGAATAATATTATAATATTATTGGATATTATTTACTATTTATGTTTTATAAACCACTACCTCTATATTGAATACATCAAATCAATTATTTCTACTAGTGGTTATTTTAAATAGAAATATAATTGAATTCACACTCTTCTATTTTTCGACTGTCATACGTAATAATACCTACTATTGGTAGAGTTTCTACTATTAATTGTAATACAGGTGTTAGGCAGTAACACTATATTATATTATCATTATCTGTGGTGATACATATTATTAAAATCGATGACATACGATTGTCAGTAAAATTAGAGCTGTAAGAAAGCGCTAGCAAATTCACATTTAAATCTTTTAGTTTAGATTTAAATTTGGCTTAGGCAAATATTATTCCCAGAACTAGATTAATTCTTTTGCTAATTCCAAATTTAAATAGTTTATTTCTCCACACCTACTTCTCTACGCGGCTGATTTTCTCTGTTGATTTTGTTTTGTATACATATTTATACATAAGTAATTTATATTTACAAACACTGTGAACACCTGTGTATAATTATTTAATAAATATTATGTTTATATATATGTATATCTATAGGTATGATCACATATATGTGTAAGTTTAATTAGGTGCATATTGTGTTTTACAAAGTTAAAAACGGCGATCTTATCGATTATGACGATCGTATTTATGGTCTAATCTTTTCCAGGAAACTTGAGACAGTTTGAGTACAGGAGAAAAGACAAAGGCACTAGAATAGAATAGTAAAAAATGCATAATAAGATTTTTACAGTATATCATGACGACGATCTGTGATATCGACGGCGTCGTTCATGTCTACTAGCGCTAAGTTTAAGATGCTTTCAACATAGACTTGGTGTCGAACGAACATTAGTGAAAATCGGTTCATTAAAAAAGATATTTTGAAATAGTGAAATAATTCAGAACACATTATCAAACATTGTGTATGTCGAAGAAAATTGGCGATGTAATACAAAAAATCAATAGACGACAGTGAATTGAGTAGCTTTTCCTTTTTGTAGTTACATAGGTAACGTAAAGATCTATTGTAATATTAATACGTATAATTAGTAAAAATCACGGGATCTTACCACGTTTTATATTTATTTGCCAAGTTCCCGATACTTCGGTAGTGTTTCAACCACCATGATCACGGGTAAACTGAAGAGCAGCGGGTAGATGGAAAAATAAATCTTTTTATGGACAGACATATGCGTCTACCTTCACACGTCTTCGTTTGTTGCTACTACTGGAACTCGCTCGATATTCATCTCGGCAAACTGTACTCACAGTATCTTTACGTACATTTAATACACTTTTCGATCGCGTTTTTTGATTTTGTTTAATTAAACCAATCACTAGATTCCAGGCATTAGAGAGCCTATATCTGTTCTTCTCGATTGAAATTTTTATATTTCTGTATTTCAATGGCCTCTCTAACCATTCTTGGGATATAATGCCGTTCTGATGTTAATACTTTTGGTTGGTGTAGTTCAATCCAGTGATTGGGTCCGGATCCCAACAAGTGTTCCGCTATGGCTGATATACGTGAATCGTTGTTTTTAATAGCTTTTATATGTTCAGCAATGCGACGGGCTATTGTTCTTTTTGTCTGTCCGATCTATGAGCTCCCACAACTACAGTCCACCTTTAGACTCCAGGATGTTGTAGAGGAAAGTTGTCCTTAGGTGAACGTAACATTTGCTTTATTTTTCTGTGTGGAGTAAAAACAGTATCTACAGAGTATTTACTCAATAGTCTGCTTATCTTATCAGTCACTCCTTTAATATAAGGCAAGAAAGTTTTTTGACGTTCCACTTTACATGATTTGGGGCGACTGTTTTTGGCGAGATTGTTACTAATTATACGTATAAATATTGTAATATTATCTATATTAGTGATGCTACCTATTAGATATCATACAGCTTAGAAGATAAAAAGTGCAGTATCAGAGAAAAGCAAACTGTAAAAGTGTGACTATCAATCCAGTTATAACGTTCGTGAAACTTAGCAAAAAACCGGCGTCCATTTCCCACATGTCGTATACGTAGAAACGAGGGGTAGTTTCTTCTATCATCGTAAACATACGTTTTGCTTTATTCCTTAGTGGACCTAAAATTTTAAATAAATGCTGAATTATATCAATGATTTTATTTTTCTCATGCATTTTATCAGATTTTGTACAAAGTCAATTGTATGAGTACATCCATTTCACCTATTTCTTTCTGCAACTTTGATTTGCATGATGTGTTTTGGTGTTAAATATTGTACTGAAATTTCAGGATTTACACGCAACTCAGTCTTAAAGAATTGCAAAGCATTACATTCGTTCGTGTTCATGTGTGTGGGCAACAGGAAGCATTTTATCTGGTAGCCCGTCATCTATTTTTATTGTATAATTAAATATACAAAAAAAATCATCTTAAAGAAAATATTAATAGTACAGCATTCTCATGTTTTACCATTTCTGAAGACTGTTATATGTGAAAACACGATGTAGTAAGAATCAGTGGGATAGAGGTAAAAATATATACAGCGTATATATTTTGTACAATATGAACAAAATTAGTATTTACCTTGGTTAAAGGCTGCCATCAAGGTAATTGTTAATAATTTTAGCTTTTTGATTTCTCTAAAGAATATCTCACAGTGTACACATACTAAGATTAATGTAGATGAATCCACTATAGCCAAAGTAACTACGAGTATTCCATCATATAACTCCATAATCTGAAAAAAAATTTATCCAACGTTTAGATACTGTTTTACTAAGGACCAAATTCTTACAAGTTCGCTTAGGGTCTGCGCAAGAGATTGAGACCTAATAATTTAAATATTTAGTTATGGACATTTAGAAAAAAAATGAGATTCTTTAACATAATAGGCATACACCTTAATTGTTAGACGGACAAAATAACGATTATACTGATATATATGAAACAAGTAGGCTTGAAAAAACAAATTCTGAAATAGGGAGTAAAAGAATAAATAATATTATCACCATAGACCTCGTAAATGGCCACTAAGAAACATATTCCAGTTCAGATATACTTTTATAATATTTCAGATAACTAACCTAGATATGTTTTTTTTTCTAGAAGATAAAAAATCCAGGGGAGGTACGTTGATGGGTTGTCTAGAGAATAAAGACTAACGTAGATATACTTACATTGTTTTGTATAGTAAGAAGTGTAAATTGAAATGCCAAAATGCTATATCCAACAATTTTGCAGCAGAATACGAAAATCTAAGAAAAAAACAATTACATTAGAAACATCTCATACATTTATAAGTAAGTGTAAGTATAATATATGTTTTATTTTGAAATCTAAGTGAAAATAGGACTAATATATTTAAGTCGAATTATTAAACCGTTAAAAACTTATCAGTTATTTTTTTTTATACTTAAATGGTTTATCCTACTGGCAGATTGGCAAACTGGCACTTGCACACTTTTTACGTATTAGTATTATACTAACATATATGTATATTTACCTGAAACTTATAAAGCTCCTGATAAATTGTAAAGCAATCGAATATTTTCCTTAAGTACACATCAGTTTCGCTTGACGCGAACTCATAGTTTTTTTCTACTAATTCTCTCATGAATCTGGATCCTCTTACTTTGCTTCGCATCATCATGATTCTCATTTTCGAATTTAAATAGTTCATTAGTATAGAATTAATTATAAGGATACGTGACGAAAAATGTATTATGAAAGTTATAGATTGAGTCACATCAAGGATAAAGGGACTTTGGGTAGATGCTATTCCCAACGTAATTACGGTTGCAGACACTCCAACATTTATCGCAATTGGTAGCAGGGCGATGAATGGTAGTAGAACAATGAACACCGCTATCACGTTGCGCTTAAACATCATTTCGTTAACTGTTTTGTTTTTATCTATTTTCATAATACGATCTAATTCCTGTATTTTTTTATACAACGCCACGTTGTCTCGTCCGCGACAAAATCTCACGTGGATAATGTTGACAAAATATGATGAGAAATGTAAAGGTATCAGTATGTTCATTAAATCCTGTACTCCTGGATAACTCTTAAATTTTGATGAATAAACGCCAGAAATGTATATGTAAATGAATATATTTAAGATTACAAGCATTAAGGAGTATGCTCTTTGATACCATACCGGAATAGATAAGTATCCGTTTAGAGGATTGACGCGACATGATCCTATTACTAATTGTATAGTATGAAATGGTGAAAATATTTTTAAAAAATCCGCGTCCAACTTAGCACGCTGAGGGTACCTGATCGTATGTATTCTTAGTTCAGCATTATTCATTTTAGAAACATAAAATAAACCGTATTAAGAAAATATCTTGAGGTTGATCTCTCATAAGTTTTTTTCCGTTGAGGTTACAAACAACCTTTGATTACAGCAATTAATACAGAACTGAAAAAGCTTCTAATTGTTGTAGGTCGAATAATTAGATATTTTCTAAAGTACCATTGATATCACGATGAATTTTCCTCTACATATAATGGCTTAATTATTGCTAGTATATAATATTTGAGTTAATTGTACAAACATGTCACGGTCATTGTAGGTGCTTGATACTTGTATTGAATATGGCGACAGAACAAAAAGTTCTTTGTTTCGTGATTACGACCCTCGTACATATCTCTCATATATTTTTCATATAAGTACTTACTGATGTAATTATATAATTATTATATACTGATGTAATTATGTAATTATATAATATAAAAAATATACCGTCACGACTCTTATTCCAGATGGGGTAGTCAGAGGCATTGTCAACTGTTGAAGTCGTGGTGAACGCAACATTACGTATGCTCATATTTAAATGGATATAATAGAAGTTAAAAATGAGCTTATATTACTAAATCCTACACTATTCACATAAGGATTATTTTTAATTCACTATTTTACTACCTAGAAGCTATAAAAAATCTATGATCGGTAATTTAACTTGATATATATTTTAATATTTATACCTGTCTAATAAATAATCTAATCTCAATTAATATATTTGAGATTTGATAGGTGTGACACATATGAATGTGGATTGTTATGAGGTCATATGTATTATGTAGGCTGAAAAAGAGATGGCTAGACTGTATGAAAGGTGATATGGAAAGTAAGGAAGTAAATAAAGCGAGTACTGCGAACAAGGACTAATAGAAGAGAAAACATATTATGCCGACTCCAAATAAATAGGATAAGGAAGAAGCAGATGTTGGTCATTAATATATTTACGATAATAATATGTAAAAATGACCTATTTCAAAATAATGGTTATGAAGTAAGGCCAGTAATTATTAATGATCAGTAATGTATAATGGAACTTTTCATCAATAACACATTATTAAATAATATATGAAGCTTTGATGTTAAATTGATGAGTTCTAAGTCCGCTGTTTAAAGCTGACGGCAATCTAAATACAGCCACTAATAGACATTTTGATTACATAGTTTAATTTGGACTTTAATTGCATATATAGGGTTAGTCCTAAAGGGTTTTAATTGATGATAATTTTATGATGTCTCCGCCTGCGAATTTATGGGGCAGCAGTGACGAATGACAACCAAAGCGGCAAGCGAAAACAAATATTAATAGATGATAGAAAATTGTAAAACTTCATTGCTTAGATAAACTTCTATACTTTATATAGGTAGGTACATATTTAAAGTCAAATTACTATAGCAATAGGTACATTTAAACTAAGTTTCAATTTGAATCTTTACATACTATAATACTGTTAAATAAAAGACGGTGTCTGCTTGAACGTTTACTTTTGAACTAACACAATGTCGTGGTATATTATCCTATATCTAATGTTTATATTAGGAACTGAATGGTTCCATTCAGTTCAGTATACACAGCGTAATAATACCTTATACTAATATTTAGCCACCATATAACAAATACAAAGTCGTTGCTGCTGTCTCTTTGCTCGTATCCTTTAAATTACGTAACGGATCTTAATGCAGTTTTCATCAATAGATAGAGCGATTAAAGAGGAAGGTGTGTATAATATGTGCGAAGTTAGGACGGGTCGCTAGTTAAATAATAAATTATAATCTTTCTACAAATTTATTTCGTTCAAATTTGCAACATAACTATATATTCGAGTATTTATAGAAGAACAACTAACACAAACACACATATGCAATGTTACGTCTAGGGCATCATCATATACATGTCTTAACTCATAATATTATACATCTATACATAATTATGAATACCTAAGTGATGCTGAAATATAATGGAGAATTCAGTAGGTACCTAGAGTATTTCACTCCATCTAAATTAACGGTACGAACCTGTGCAATATAAATACAATGAATAATATAATCGGTAGTGGCTAATATCCAAAAATAAGTAAATTGTACATAGTCACGAATACAGTTGTTGATAAACCAAAAATTCTAATTAAAACACGAGCATCTAAATAACACATGTCGTAAACAGAAAATATTGGTGGGTTATCTTCAAGCAACTTCAACATTCTCTTCGTCTTCTCTCGTAGTCGACCTAAAAAAGACAGAAATTTACTCGATACCTGTATGGAAATGTAAACTTTATTGTTATTTCTACGAAGGTAAACGATATTTAAGATCGGCAGTAAAGATATTTTATATATAGGTATAATAATACCTATAAAATATAATATGAAATATGAAAACCATCAGCATCTAATAAATATCATTGAAAAAGTTTGAAGTTGTCATTCAAACTGTTGTATCTTATCAGTAAGATACAACTCGTAGAACAATTATTCTATAAACTTTATTGAACTAAGTTCTTTTAATTAGGTATTTGAAAAATTATGAAATGTAAAAGCTATAAACTATATGTATCTATAAGAAATTTGATAATGTTACTTTTTTTTTAAAATAATGTTCACATATTTTTTATGTTTATAATAGACTGAGTATGTATAATATATTTTATATTGTACGTTAAATTTAGACTTACCATCAAAAGTATACACCCCCATAAGCGAAATACACAAAAGTTTCGTTTCTTTTACACTCCTTAGAAATTGTTCAGAACGAAAGCATACGAAAATAGACATAATGCCATCTAATAATGATAAACCAGCCACTGCTAGAGCCTCGTAGAATTTTACTACCTGAAAATATATTATATTATAAAAAAATGATATCCAATTGCAATAAATTCATAAAGAAAATCAGTTAATCTTGAGATTATATCACAATCAAGTTAAAAAAAAATAAAAATGAGAATTCTGACTCTGTATATTCGAATAGATTCAAATGTACCTAAATACAATGACAAACAGACCGACAGGCTATATATGTGATGGTCAGTGGTAATCGTCGCCTATATATGTGAACATCATGGATACTATGTCACCCTGTGATCATGACTTGCCATTCTTGGAATACAATATCCATTTCACTGGCCCTAACAGAAATACGTTTCACAAACATGAACATGGTGCTTGGAAGCAGATCGGTGAGACAGAGGTACTAAGCAGTCGACTTGCTACAAAGTTAATGTTGGGAAAAAGTAAGTATTTTAACATTTTCCAAAAGACACTGGTTAGAAGTTCATCTTCAGTACCTACCATATTTTAATAATCAGAGAGAATTTAAAGTTTACGGAAGAAATGATAACAAATTTTAATATCAGATATTTGGAAAAGAAATTATACTTACATGATTTTCCAGAAAGATGATTATAAATCCGAATGAGAAAAACATAAATGTAAGATGTTTTATGAGAAAATTTAAAATCTGAAATAAAAGGACAAATTGTAGTTATTGCCTAGTTAGAAGCCAATGTTTGTTCATTTATGCAAAAACTAATTAACGAATTCGAATGACATTTTCTGTTACCTGAAATTTATATATGTTTTGAAAAATAGTGAAACCTTCTAACAATTCCTTTAAATAAACGTCGATATCGCAGGTAGTAAAATTATGGCTATCTCTTGAGAATTTCAATAAAAAATTCTTTGTAGGAGCTTTGACTCTAATTTCACGCTCTAATCCTGGTTCAATATATGGTTTTAAATGACTTATAATTATACCATTAAGAAATCGTATTCTTATGGTAAAATAAAACAACAGATTTGTCAAATGTGCAAATTCCATCATGTATACAATTTGAAAGTATAGCGCTCCAATTGATAAAAAAGCCATTTGGGCATCATTCACACATAGAAACATAAAAAGTGCGATATAAGTAGACATTAGTAGTGTTGTAGTTACAAAATTTAGTTTGTAAATTATGTCATTTAATGTTTTATATTGATCACTAGTCATAATACGCTCAACTTTTTGTAACTTTATGTAAAATTTTGCATTGGCTTCACTATTCATAAATCTTACATGAATTATATTACTAAAAAGTAGAAACCAATGTGACACAATGATCACTGAAATGGAATTGTAGATGTAACAATCGTCGAGGTATTGCTTCAAAACCAGCTCCGTCAAGAGAGAATACAAGATAGTGGCTATTGTTGTCATAAAAATTGTATAAATCCTCTGGTATAGCGTTGGTTCTGTTACGAATCTGTCTTTAGCGTCCACTCGATAACATCCTAAAGCCATTTGAACGCATCCTAAAGGTGCGAATGTCTTCATATAATCTTCGTCTAAAATATCTTTTGAGAGATATTCGGTAGACATCGCAATCAGTTTTAACTTGGAAACTATACTAAAGGTGATAAAATATGGTTACTGAATTAATATTTATGATACATTTTATAATTCTAGCGATGCAATATTACAATGTAGCGAATTGTAGTAGTACTATTGTGTAGTTAGCTGTTATGACAAGCAAGTTCAGCGGCAGTTGCGTGTTCAATGTAAAAATATTATAAATAGACACTATACACTTCTTTTCTACGAGTAATGAGAGTATTTGTTTAGCAGTTCTTCTGGATTTGTCTGAAAAAGAGTTTGAGTAATTTTATTATGTTCTAGAACTTGTAAAAAATCCCATAAAGTTGATTTTTTTTGGGTTAATCGGTTGAAAATAGAAAAAAAGGAAAAGATGAATAGGAGCGGTGACATACTTTTTTACTTACTCCGATGCTGCACTATTATTAATTTATTTTAAAAATATTAGATTAATATTATGCACAGGTATGTATCTCAGGTACCTACTGAGGTATAAGTGTAAAAAGGACGATCAATTGTATTTTTTTCGACACATATGACATACGTAGGTACGAGTAGCGGTTAAATATTCATAATTGGAATTTAATTGCTACATTAGTAATTTAAAAAATATATGAATGTATAGTTATATGAATGTAACTTTAATAAATTGCGCAATAGGTATAAGTAACTAATTGTAATGAATTTTATATATGACGGTTTATTATGCAAAGCTGTAAGCTTAAGAGAAGGTTAACAAATTATAATAGCTCCAGTTTTGTCAAATGATTAACTTTAAAAGTACTACTATATAATAGCATACATACCGTCATTACATGATAACAGGCTGATGCTAAGTTCCCGACATGTTTTTAAGCTTGAACTTAGAAATTCGCCCATAAAAGACATACAGATTAACATGACCACCAATAATAATACATACGGGAGTACAAATCTAGTAATCAATTTGACATCGCTTCCCATCTGTAAAAGAAAATAAATTTTGTTAGAATTTTTTTTTACTATGTAATATTATATTATCTGTGCTACTATTGATTCCTAATAATTTTAACGTTAACTCAAAAAACCTACTAAAGGAATTAAATTATAACATCGGTGAATATTTGGCAGACTTCTTAAAATGTAAATTAGTGTAGGTACCTGTAAATAAATAAATCCTAAAAAAATTACATACAAACAAAGCATGGAGAAACTCTATTTTTTTTGTTGTAAATTGCCGCGCCCTATTAGGGTTACAGTGTTCTTATTATGTCACCATTGATTCGGGAATGCAAATCATTACATAGCATAAAATAAAGTTGCTGTAGCTATCTGTCCCTATGGATTGTGAAGCGGGTTTTTTTAATACATAGAGTGATTCTAGAGGAAGATTTATATATATAATACACATACATACAATATAAGTACACAGAAAATAATATTATATATATATATATATATATATATATATATAACAATATAAGTATTCAGAAAAAGAAGACTGCATATACCTGTCCTTTAATTGCAGACGCCGTGATCTGTATTATTAAGAGATCCCATGTAACCACATGACAGGTGAAAATGAAAATCTGAAATATATTAACTTGGTAAATAAATGTTAACTTGATGTACCGAGGAGCTTGTAGTTTATAAGCCGCTCTACTTCCATACTTGCTGGTTTGAATGTCACACGATGCAAATGTTTGTCTGTTTCTTTTTAGTCTTTGTCTTTTTTCTACATATTATGAACTTATTTACAAAATAATGTCTTTATGTATCTATTTCTATCAGCTGTTTAGTTTCCATAGAGCTCTTAGTTTAAGTATGTAATATTATCTTATCTGCGTTGTGTGAATTATCCTGGATTATTATTAGATACGTAACTTATGTAGCCTGTCATCTATATACACCTACATATAGGACATCAGAAGACTCTATAATTTAACTAAGGCAGCGAGCAGATAGAATAAGCAACGGTAATGGAGTATTACGTGATATTTCAGAGTACATTTTATTCTTTTTTGCCGCTATTCTATTTATTATAGATACTGATTAGGTACTCTCTTGTACGTCAACAGTAAATATTACCTATAAAAATGATTACGATTAATAAGAACAAACAAACAAAACAAAATGATCTCACCTCAAATTGAAATAGTTTAATGAAATCTGTCAAGGCATCTAATATATTATGCACTCCAAAAACTAATACATTTCTCATTTCTTCATCTATGATCTTTAAATCATCTGACATCTGGGTAACTTTTTCTTTAATTCTGGGTTCTTTTTTATCGCTTTTTTGTTTCATCTTCGTAACATTTTCAAGCAATTTATTAATATACACCACTCTTGAATCGATGATAAGCATTATAAGAAACGATAATAAAAATTCTATATATTGTCCAATATTCAATAATGTAGTAAAATACAAAGACAGAGGAAAACCTTTTGCTAAATTCGTTACTGAAATGATTGTTAATACTGTACCGAAAATTAAAATGAGACATAACGAAATAAATGATAATAACGAGAATTTTCTGTTTAATGAATTTTGATTATGCATATTTAGTACTCGATCGACGTTTTGCAGTTTTACATATAATTGACTGTTTATATTATTATTCAAAAAGTTGTTTCGCCACATAATCACAATTGTCAATATTTGGTGAAATGTTATTCCTAATTTGAAAAATATACTAGAGGAAAATGCTGTAAAATTAAACTCGTAATTTAGTACAATGTCATAGAAGCACAATAAATTTATTAATAGCAATAGAATACTGTAAAACTTCCAAAATTTCGTTTTACTAGTAACAAAACGTAATTTAATATCAACACGGTTGAAACCTAAAAAACTTTGAACAGTATTAATGGGTTGAAATATTTTTATGAAATCCTCATCTATAATATCTTGGAATAAGTTTTCTGTATTTATTATTTTCACCATTTTATTGCCCTGCTATACCAAAACTTATGAACAAAGGTTTGTTTAAGAGTACAATGGATACTTGGTGTTATATCCAGAGATAGGATTAATATACGAATCTGATCAATTGAAGACCAGTCGTTACGTTTTAAGTGATTTTTAATATGGATAGATAGTAATATACAAAGTGTGTTAAAATGTCCACAACAACTTTATGTTCAAACTAGCTGTACTCGCGGTTTGCGTGAAAGAGTAACAAACATCCATCTGTCCATCCTTATTCACAAACTTTCGCATTCATAATATTAAGATTCGATATATATAATATGTGAATAAGATTGCAAAAAACCCTAATTAAGAGATATTCTATGTGTTTCAGTGGTTTTTGTAACATGCTAAAATTCCGTTTTATATACATAGAACAATAAACTAAATAGAATATAATAAAATTTATAAATATGCTAGTAGCTAATATTGTGTGTTTATGATAATATATCATATTGGTTATGTTATGTATTTATGTTAATATATCGTTTTCGCTGACGCCTAGCTAAAAACTAAACCCCTGTAAAATTGTCTATTCAGATTAACGGTAAATGTCATGAACTAGATAATTATTTTCGATAAAAAAGGCAATAATGGTTTGTAAAATATAATATCATGTTAATATAATATTTGGCGTACATAATTATAAAAAGGTTTCTTCTGTTACATTGTCGGTACATAGGTACATTCAAGTAAAAAGTTAAGTTTGATAAAATTCTATTTAAACAAGCGTATACGTGAGTTAAACACGGTATTGTAATATTTCTACATTAAATACATTTTAATAGTTATATATCTCCTGAGACAATAAACAATTTTCGTTCAACACACATGTCATTAATTCAATATTGGTATCTATATAAATAAAATTGGAGTGTCTTTTTGTAATATTGAAATAACCGTTTTTACTACATGCATATGAATACAAATATGGTACATTCACCAATATAATATTCTTTTCAATTTTTGTCTGTCTACCAGTCTGTTTGTTCCGGCTAATCTCTGAAATGGCTGGACCGATTTTGACGGACTTTTTTGGTAGGTAGCTAATGTAATAAGGAATAATAAATACTACTTCTTTATTTTAGAAAAATAAAGATAAATTACACGCCGACGAAGTCGCAGGAACAGCTAGTTTTAAATAATTGTGTAAAGGGTAAAGATTCCAATTCATTGCTGAAAGCTGTAAGGTATACCACAGATAAAATAACATTACATAGCGATACTAAGATAGTGTGTGATGTACTTTTTACGTTACAGCTGGTTGTATTTTTACGTATTGTAGATATATTTATTTTTAATAGATGACAATGGAAAGTTATACTCTCTTAAACTAACGGTATTCACTGACGGTTTACAAAATGCGAGCATAAGTTATGTCAGTTAGACCATCATGACAAATTCACCATTAAATAACCATTAATTTCCAGGTTTTTAAAAGTTGACCTCATATGGTACATTGCTACCCATAGGTCCACTAGTTCATATTTCTAACAGTTCTCTTTCTGTCTATGTAGGTATCATATTATTATTAAGTACAGAAGAGTAAATTTATTTTTAAAATATTATATCTTTTTTGTGAATGCCGACGCTGTTACTTACTAGAATCCTGGTTAGTGGTAAGTTGGTAACACAAAGTCTACCTTTTATTCTTAGATTTGAGAATTAATAGCTCTGTGGCCAAGTGGTCGTGGTTACTACCTAGAAGTAGTAAGAAGTAAGTAGAGTAATAATTTGGCCGACACCAAAAACTTTGTGTTAATTTGTACCTATTCTCAATGACTCTCCGGTGATGGCATTAGTTGTTCAATTAGCGCTACCAGCCAGTAAAAGTAAAAATAGAAACTGTTACATTACTTACCTATACTACAATATTTTAAATAGCCATTTTATAGTAGTGCTCCATATTATATTTATTGATGAAACTCTATGTAAGTACCTAACTTTAATAACCGATCAGTCATCCTTGAAGTTAGCCCAGTATATTATTATAATTCATAGACCGAAGTCGTAAATATGTCAAGCTCCAAAGATGAAATATACATATTGAAGTCAACAAAAATAATATACTACTTTCAAATATTGACAGGAACTTCACGAGTTGTAGTGAATAAAGATAAAGTATACCCGAGACCGATATATTGGTTTTTGTTAACAATAATCCTATCTATCTATATGGGATATAAAAGCATTACTTATAATTTGAATAACGCTACTTTACAAAAGGTTCTAACACTTATGTCGTTCATAGGGTTATACTACTTTGTTACAATAAACATGATTGTTACTAGAAAACTTGCATGTAGATTATATAATATGTGTATTGAGTTAGATCGATATACTAAGGGAATATCGATAGCTATGTCCAAATTTAAAGGAATTGATTATTTGGATTTAATATTGATCACTGGTCTCGGTTTAAACGTTTCATTCGTTATAGATTATTACATGGAATCTGTAATAATAATACCTACAGAATTATGGCTAGTGTTATTTTACAATAGATGTGTATTGTCTATTATTCAAGATTTTGATCTATTACTGTGGTTAAAAATTAGTAAATATTTAAGAATGAAATTGCAAGAGCTCAATAGATGGTTAAAAAATAAATACTGCAGTAAAAGACCTGCTTCAGACAGAATATTTTTTGTTAAAGAAAAAGAAGTTAGATCTGAGCATACAGAAATAGAAAAGTATGTTCATATTATAGAGAAGATTGTGTATTCCCACAATATATTAAAAGAACTTTATAAATCTTCAGTAAGTATACAAATCTTAGTATCATTCTATGTACTCCTGTTTTACACGAGTATGTATACCTATGTACTAACATATACCTACATACTGGTGTTTGAATAGAATATAATTCATTACGTTCTACGATGTTATCGATTATAAAATGTATAAATTTCTTTTTTTTAATCTAATTATAGTTTATATTCAGAGTAGTTAACTTTAAAAATAAAAATATGATTAGATTAAAAAAAAAATATTAAAAAATTTGAATTCGGGTTTGGCGATGCTCCTCAATATCAACACGATTTTTTACGTTATTGTCTCATACTATTATATCCTATGGAAGTAGTCTTTTTTCTGTGAGTAATCTTAAATTATTTTATTTCATTTCAGATATTGTTTTTCAACATTTCGTTTTTCTTGTGGTTCATATTACGAGTTTATGAACTACTACTAGTGATACACGTGAATGTAAGTACGATTTAACAGATTAAGATGAAAACTTTAAGGCTTACCAGAACTCGAATACTTTATAGTCGATTAACTAATACTTTACATACATTTATATACAAAGCATACAACACTGGAGCATAATTGGTATCTAACGATATCTTTAGAGATGAAGGAAGGGAAAACGTTATTATTTACGTATTTTATTTTCATTTTTTAGCATTATTCCATAACTGCGCCTCGAGTTTTGTAACATGTAAATATATCCGTATCTCTTCCGTATTATACCTACATGAAATTTTTTTGCCCCTCTATATTTTTTTAGCAGTTTCTACATAAACTCTGGAAAAATTAAAAAAAATTGTATTTTATAAATTTCTTTGGTAAAGTCGAATAACCAATATCTAAATGAGAACACAAAACAATGATTGTTAGATTTTTATCTGTTTGTCTGTGAGTGATAATCTTAAGAACGTAACTATATATATATATAATTTAGTAAAAATAAAAAATTTTGCGTGTTTTATTCAAACCGCTTTATGGAATACGAAGTCCCAAACGGACGTAACTATAAGTTTAAAAAATATTCAGTCAAAGCGACGGCGATAGACGACTGTTTCCATTTCCCATTAAAATCAAATTGTAGTTTTCTATATTTTCAGACGAGTCTCTGGAAGTCCATTAACGGTCTTCTAACAAAAGATTTAAAAAACTTCGTAATGATAATAGCTCTTAGTGTGTCCGCCGAGAAGTTCTCTTCAGAGCTAGATAATACAAGAAACTTATGCCTTGAAATTTTAGACGACTACGATGTAAAAGTAAGAATTTATGAATGTATAGTTTTGTGTGACATGTAGCTTTGGGAACAAAATATTTTAACGCAGTACTCTCTCATGTATTTGTTGGCGGGATGTTATGCGAAATAAGCTTTTATGTATACCTAAGTACCAGTATCACCGAATAAATATCTATCAAGACGCTAAAAAGATGAATGAGAATTTCATTTAGTTAAATATAGTATATAATATAGGGAATATAATAAAGTAATATGGAATACAGACTTCATTGCTATGTAGATCCCCACGCGGTACCCTCTGGTAACTACCGTGGTTAATTACTAGCGAATTCGCCACGCTGGGCTAACTTTACGCTCATCCAAACAACCTCCATTGGTGCACTGAAAGCAATAAAGCATTAGTGCCGGCGGGCGTAGGTACCATTAACTTACAATACATAATATAAAATGTCGGTTTACCTACGAATCATTTAACACCTTACGACACAAATGCTACAGCGAATCTCATGATTGGCGCTAGATTAGCGATGTTGATAAAACACGACTCATCGTAGGTTTCGCTAATATCAGAATATATTATTTATTTAAAATCAGTTTAGCTGCATAGATTTTGTAATGTCTATTGCTTATTTTTAACTTTTCTTGCTTGAGTTTATTTGAATATTTATTTAGTACCTTGTTAATTAAAGTACATTTTCATTTTCTAGGTAAACAACATCAGTCAGCAACCAAAATGATTTGGTTAATCGAGGAAATGCCTTCTAATTACAATTTTTTCGGTTTATTTGAGTTAGACGGGAAATTGCCGTTTCGTATTACTGCTTTGTTTTCCACTTATATTATAATATTAATACAATTTGTATTTATGTAGGTTCATTTTACTTCGAGTTATTAAAACCAAATGGGTAAATAAATCAAATAAAATTGAGAAAACCCAGAGAGTTTTGGAGTTACAAATAGTGGACATATAATAATTAAGTTCTATAGATATTATATATAATTATAAGTATATACTATATATATATATACATATAATTATTAAGCATCTTGAACAAATAAACAGAAACAGCTTTAAGTGATAATAAAAATAATAAAATACCCGAGGGACATAACATTATCATAGAACAGCACTAAACAAAAAGAAGAATAAAATTATAGAACTTTTTATTCAATCAACAATCTATGCACTTTTTCTATATTTAAATACAACAAGAGCATTACAAAAATATCTAAATTGGCTCAGGCACTCTTAATAGCAATACAACCATATTATATAGTCAACACGTATGTTTTACACTATTTACAAGTAAAATATCTAAGTGAGCATAAATTTGAACGGATAAATTTTTATTAATGGTATAATTCTTTTTATAAAATATATTTGAGTGAAATGTCACATTTCTGTGAAACTGAAAATACTATCAATATTAAAAATTAAAAAAAAAAGTAAAATTAATTACTTCCGAGTCACATTTTGAAAGTTAAAAACAGTTATTTACATTTATTTAAAGTTAGTAAACCTAAATTATTGAAAGTAGAACATTCATTATACTTTTATGTTGATGATTGATGATGATAATCAATCTATTCCTTTCCTCCTTCCTCCTTTCCTAATCTACAAATAGGCAAATACAATCTAGTAATATTGGTACGTTATAAAATGGAAAATTATATTATTTATATAAAAATAAACATAGTACTACTGGCAATCTATTTAAAAAAATTATGTGACAATAAACCGGTCGAAATTTTTACTATACTTTTGTGTCTTAATTAAATCCAATAAATATTTAATACGCAAAACGTAAATCCTCTTTGTAACCCAACTTTTCTAGCGCTGGATTGCAAGCAAAATTAATCATCGGTGGGGGACCGCACATAAGTACTATCACGTCATCTCCTGGTGGGAACAGGTGGTCTCGAATCATGTCTTCGTTGATGAAGCCAGTACTGTACGTCCATCCTGAAACATAAAGTTATAACAGTTTTAGCGACGTAGTCTTAGTATAAAGTTATTTACGAGACCTACTGGTGCCCCCGGTCGCTCCTCCTTTCAATTCAAAGGGGATCGAAACTACGATGGTCTGAGCAGAGATTCGAACATCTAGCAGTGTTCCCAGACTAAAGTCATACGCGTCAGGCAGGAGTTGGCCTTCAGCCGCTCCATAAGTCCTTCCGCGGTTTTGGAGTGCCATCTGCACTCGCCCTCGATCGTCCACTGAAGCTAGGTCAGCTGCGGACGTTAGAGTAGTACGATAAAAAAAAATCTACGAGTGTACCTCTGTTCCACTTATTTCTGTTATCAAGCAGTTTACTTTGCAACCTATGTTTCTGTTGGATGATTGTAATAGCAGTGAAATTGCAGAATTGAGGCTTTACATCACAGTATTTAGAAATGTCATGGAGGTAGTCACGAACTTCACATAACGTCTTGATGTCAAAGATGCTTTAAACAAATAGGCGACGGTTTTCTGTCAGGTTATTTGCATTACAATTACATTCAAAAAGTTATAGTGGTAAAATTTTCATACCATACCCACCATGATATCGTGAATTAGGGCAAAAAGAATCCCATATATTTAGGATTTGATATATTTCTGTAACAAGTTTAATTCAAAACAAACTCTCGAAAATAATCTCAATATCATTATCTCCATCCTCTTAATAAAAACTATCTTCACATCAAATTTAATTAAGATCCATTAATAAGATAAGAAACAAACAGACAGGCACACTGTTATATTTATAAGATTATAATTATATCAATTAGATTTTACCTTCATTGGCCCGGTCAATGGTATACCACAGTTTAAATTGATTAGGGTACTCTCTTTGATATTTCTCAAGTTCATTTCTAAGTAGGATATCTTCTTCTGTCTGATTGGCAAACAACAGGCGCAACTCCGTAGAGTCACTTGGATCCTGACAGATGTGTCTGATGAGTTGCAGCATTGGTGCTATGCCAGTGCCACCTGTTGAGAAAGGTATTTGAATTCATTTTTATGTAAATAGAATGATAAATAAGCTGATGGTCTGTTAACGATCACATGGGTATGATTGTATTATACCCTTCATATTCTTGAATAAAGTATCTTGACTCTGTACCCTACAATTATTTATCCTTAAACCGAAACACTGCCTATAAAAAGTGAAATAGGTGAGCTATCAACAAGAAAATAGTGATTTAATATAGATATTAATCAAGGTAAAAAATTGTCACTGGCAGATCTCTTTTGCAATTAAATGTACTGTAAAATAGAAGTGATTGTCGAGACAATTACTAATATGACAGTTACTATATCAACCGACTTTAAAAAAGATGTTTTGAGTTAAAAGTTTAATAATAATCTGTTGATTTTGCAATTATCTCCTATATAACCATGAAATTATTTTAATTGTTCAGGTTTGATTTTTTATCTATAGAATTAAATTTGTTAAATTCGATTAACATAACATGTGTGAGATCATATAGATATATATGGTCCACTATTATTAGTCATATATTATAAGTTTACCTGCAATCATGTTGAGTTTCTTTGTTACTATCCTGAGTGGGGGATCCTTTCTCAGTTTCTTGATTAGGAATACACCATTTCCTGGATACTGTAGCCTTCCAGATGGTCCTCGGACATCAATTGTTTCACCGAGTTTCAAGTTTTCCAAATGTTGTGATAATTTTCCACCTTCAGGAAATTTAGGGTGGACATTTTTGAAGTATACCTAAAAAGAGGTATATTTATATAAACTTCTAGCTATAACCTATGATTTCGTCTGCTTCTTAGACATAAAAGTAACCAATGTCTGTACTCTTTATTGAAATATCTGTTCAGCTGTTTAAATGGTAAAAGTTTACAGACGAACAGACATACCATCGCATTTATAATATAGTATGCATAACCGTTTATAGGATAATAAAATGATGAAGTTGTTGAAATTAATAATCTTTATTCTTAACTTTACACCAATAGGCACTGAAGTATTCCTTATCGTTCGGCTATAATTCAATATAGACAATGGAGATTATCTGTGATGGCATAAATTCCATTTACATTGAATATCATCAGTTCTCTCATATCTGATATTTACTAAGGCGTTAAGAAAACAATAAGTCGTCTGTACAAACTTTCATCATCTATTTCATTCCCTTCGAGTCCAAATTATACTAATGATCTATGATCAAGTTAAAAATGTTGCTGTGATAAGGTAACAAAAGGACAGATAGATTTTAACATTTATAATATTAATGTGTCCTATGCACCCATCTCCATCTATCATCCAAAATCTCAATGTATTTTACATACATGGAGCAAAGCAAAACCATAAAAATCTATGTATGTAATCTATATTTATAAAATAACCTTAATGGTATTTTATCTGTAATTATTGAATTATCAATAATGAATATGAAAAATGTAGACTATTGTTTAATATAAATATAATTCAATATGCTAATCTCTAAATTTTATTATCATTGTTAAACAAAGTACGTGCAGATACATACGTAGATAGAATAAATACTGTACCCAGATAATTGTGTTCAATTTGAATCGATTGATAACATTAATATAAATACAACATGAAATTCTTAACAGGCCAATTAAATATTATTGTTACTGTAATTCAACCTTCATTAAGTATAATCTTAAGTCGGAATTTTTTCTGATTTAGACATGATTGAGATAATAAGTTCTCTTAATAAGTTTGACAGAAAAATAATATAATTGAGACCAATTCTCTCTTTTATTATTTTTATGTTAATGTTATTAAAACTACATAATAAGTAATATTTAATTTATGGGCATGTGAACTAGGTATTAAACACATACTAATCCCCACTGTTTGGTATGGGTGACAAGATACTGATATTTGTGAAAGAAATTATTAATATTATCACTCAAATATAAATTAATGGTAAGAGGTACAGGAGATGAGAGTGTGCCATAGATTGCAAAGACATTGGTGAGGAATGAATAGTTGGACTGATAAGGGTATTTATATATAATAGAGAACATGTCATTCTACCAGTGATAGGTACAAAGGAATGTGATTAAAATACTAGCTACTAATTTTATCAAAATAAAAAAAAAAATTGTGATAAAGTTAATAGAAATGACTATACCTTTATGAATATTTGCTTTTAAATTGCCCTAGATTTATTGCACAACAATATCAAATATTTCAGAATGAAAGCACTGTTAGTATCACTGCAAACTTATTAATATTTAATAATTAGTATCATTACTGAATTTGATTTTTAATTGATATATTTTAGATAGAATTTGATTTATATGAAAACATACCTTAATAACCAAATCCACATAACCCTTCTCGTCATCACTTGATACAGGTGTATATGCTCTAATGACAAGATCATCATCAATTTTAGCTGATAGATGTATATGTTGACCAATGGGTAATCCTAGAATTTGTAAAAAATATAAAAATCAATTATCATTATCTTACATATGTATTTACATATGTATTTTTCATAAATTGTGGATGTAGTACTTAATTTACTTCAGGCAGGTTCGGGTTCAGGATCATTATGCCTTAATTATAATATATTAGATACTTATAACAATAATTAAACTGGGACTAATATTTATACTAATTAGAAAACCAAAGTCTACTGATAGGTACCAACATTTTTAAATAAACAATATAAGCCTGTATACACTATATAGATATGATGACATATATAGTTATAAAAAATAAATTATAAGGAAACAAATTTTATAATACATTTTCCTAATGTACTATTATGTTTTTTAGAGAATAAAATAAACTAACAAAGCTTGTGATCACTGGCTGACAGTCTTCACATTATAGAAGTGTCATTATATATCTGCTTATACCAAGATAAATATAACTACAAGACCTCACAGAATATGGCAATATAAACCTATTTTACTTGACAGTTTATACATTAAATTTTACATACAGAATACTTATTTGGTTTTGTGTTATAGTTTGATGGTCAATGAAATTACTGGGTTCTCCAAATTATTAAGTTATTATAATATAAATTTTCTCAAGGTAAATACCTTGAGAAAATTTATATTATAATAAAAAGATAGCCAGCCATCATCAGGATGTATGTTTCATAGTTTTTTTTATTGGGTAAGCAAATGATCAATATGCTATATTATATACACTCACCTAGAACATGTTCACTAGAAGGCAAACCAAATCGGAATCTTCTTGAATCATGACTTATTTCCTCTCTTTCTATAAGAGGTAATTGGTATTTTGTGTTAGGATCTACTAAGGCAACAAGTTTCTTTTTACTTTTTGTTGACTTTTTGCCGCCCCATGCACAATTGGCAATCACAGAGGCAAGTACCACCACCGCACCCACTCCAAATACAATGGGCAAGACCTGAAAAACAAATGTATAAGTAATTAGTTATATTCTAATATACTATTTGTGTTAACTTTCTATGTTATATTTTAGATATTAAGATATGTAGAATGATAGACATTGTATTTATTATTCATAATATTCACATTATTCTATGTGGGTGATGTTACATTTATTACTCACCGATGACAACTATTACTAATATTATGCAATGTATCCCTTATATTTAATATGTATTAAAAGAGGCAAGAACTACAAACAAGCATTATTTTAATGTATTTGGTTCAATACATATAAATTTTTCAGTGTAAATTAACTGTTACATACTAATAAACTAATAAACTTTAACATGTATGAATACAGTTTCAACATTTAATACTAATACATTTAACTTGTGTATTACTTCCTTATTCTTTTAGGTAAGTAATAAAAATACTTACATACAAGTAATTTAACAAACAGATTTTAACCTCAGTAATATATTCATTGTAGTTGCTTAACTATTATTGTTCTAAAGGTTAAGTAAATAAATGCAAACAAATTCAACATACTGGTATCTCTTCAAAAAAATCAGTAATTGCTAGTTTTAAGTAACTCATTTTCACGTTTGTACTATATTATCAGGAATCACATATAAATTGACACTAATATTGTTTTAAATCACTTAACATAAGATGACTTGGTTAGTTATACTGCAGAGTCCATTGATAAGACCAAGAAGACACATTTGGACGTCTGATTCCAGTGATTTCACTTTGTACTCTGAACGGCTCAGAATAGCCTTGAACCTTTATCATTTAATTGTGATTAAATTACATACCACAATACTACAGTCACACAAGAGAATCGAATGAAGTTGCAGCTAGAATTAATGACTATTTGCTTAATAACGGGTAACAAATTATACAACTGTACAAAAAACTACGAATAGTTTACGCTTGGTAGACTATTTAGGTAAATACTAACCGCAATGTTCTCACTCATGTTTCTGTTTGTACGGTCGAGACACTAATATAATTTATTGAAATTGATCTAGCCATATTATCAGTGCAATTTTAAGATATAAGTATCATAGAAATGATAAGAAATATCAACAAATATCTAATCGTAGATGACAAACGAAATGTGAATAGCATATTTAAGGTTAGTTTATGTTCTACTTACGAGTTTGGAATTAATGTTGAAAGACATCTTATTTACTGATATTAATTTTTGGATATTATAATTCAGTTGGTATATAAGTATTCATTTATAATAAATTAATTACAATATAAACACGATCGCTGGCTGAGTAGGTAAAAATATCTACTCGTTGAACTAATGAATCACTATGACGAACGGGGCTTGCTAGTTATTTATTACATAAATGTATGGCATTCCGTAGACACTGTTTCCAAACGAAAGCAACAGTAATTTATTTTAAATTCTAGTTATGTATTTACGTACGGTTACCTACCTTTCACTGTTTTGGGAGATGACAATCACTACAAAAATAGATCAAGCAATGTAGCTACAGTTGAAGAGACGAGTTGGCAAAGAATTTTATCTATACATATATATTAAATAAATTTTGGGTAAATCACAATAAAATATTTAGCTTCGATGATATAAATCCGAGACAAAGTAAATAAAAATCAATTTTGTGTAATAATAATTAGTAATAAATGACACAAATGCCAAGTCCTTTACAAAATTTAAATAACCCGCCACGTCAATATATTATATCACATTTTTTCAGTGTTTATATTTAAAAAAAACATTCCTCTACTTAATATTATCTAACCTATTATTAGAGTCTTGCTTGAAAATCTCTGAATTATTAGGTAATTACGTTTTGACTAAGGTTTTTATTGTTCTTATGGCTCCGGCGATTAGTGTTGCCATTAGCCATATTGGTTTAAACCATTTTAAAGTTCCTCTGGTAATTTACTCTGGCTAAACTTTCACAATGGAATGAAATGATATAAATATACCTGAGAACAAATCCTTTTTTTACTAAATGCACATTATGTCTGAATAAAACGCAAACAAAAGAGAAATAAACATGTACAGTAATAATATTAATTAATGTAAAATTGTAATAGAAATTTATGCATGTTTTATTGCTTTATCAGTATTCCAAAGAAAAATAAAGGAAAAGAAGATTCCAAAGAGATATAAAGTTTTGATTTATCCAAAATGCTCTGTAGTGTAAACTAGATCGCGTAGGTAGTTCATCTATGGGCGCTTTATTCGGACAGAATTAGTTAGTTCGCGAATTACATGAATTATCATTTTTTCTTGTAACTTTAACTTTGTACTGAATTGTAAATCTAAACTTATTCTATATACTATTTCCGAAAACTCACAACTTTGCTACATAATTTTATTTAATGTGATCAAATTTTCAAAGGTAGGTATTAAAGTTTAAAAATTTGACCACATTAAATCATTTGTAAGTAGATCTAGTGATAGCAAAGCCAATAGTGTATTAATTAGACTATTTTCTTTACTGAAGATAAAAGAAATGGTAGCCATATGATTACTATAATTAAATACTCTAATAACGAACTCACAAGTGATTACAGATAATTGCCTTTTGGCGTCTGTTTGCTTTCTTCTTCCAGTCATGTAAAAAGTAGGTAGCTTTAAATAAATACTCCAATTCAAAACTGTTTTAATTAGGTACATTATAAAAATATTATTATTAAGTAAAGCTTAAGATAAAACAAATTTATTATAACAAATCACATGGGTAATAATATTTAACACGAGTATGGTTATTACCATTACTGTAACAATACTGTAATCGTCTTACATATTTACGAAATAACACAATCATTGTTACTGAGAATTATTAGTCCTAATTATCTCCCGAATACTTTGCGTCACTCCTGTGACAAGCACAAATGTTCCAAAAAGTATTAAGAACACATCTTTAATCAGTATCCACTTGTATTTGCCGAGGCCCCCTCTCCCAGTGAAATATCAGGTCCAGCGCAGATGGCGCAATAAGGCCAAGAAACGAGTAGAAAAATGCCCCTTCCAGCCCAATAACTTGTTCTAATCTTGGTAACGTCGCCGCTGCAGCCACTGTTAAATAATAAATATGTAAGGAAAACAAACACAAACTAAGTTTTAAGTGTCATATTAGTTTGCAAAAGAGAGTTCATGTATAAACATACAAAATAAACAAAAATCTATCAATTGTCTATTAATTTATTATTGCTATCGCTTAACTGCGTTGTATAATCAAGTTTTAAATTAGTCATATATGTATCGTTATACATTATATATTTCATATATGATATGTAACACAGTAGTGATAATTACATTTTTTTATTTTTGTGGTAAATAATTGACCCGTGAGCCAGCAACAGGTCTGAATGTGAGAAATTTCCTCCTGATTGAAAACTTCTACATTGGTTAAAGTAGTTGTATGAAATATATGCGGTTCCGAGTTTATGTTAAGGAACAGGAACATCACAAACTTTTCAAATTAAAAATAAACCTTATGCGCCATAATTACAGTTCATATGAAGTCGAATTTATGCAACTTATTTTTACAGGTTGTCTACTGCTTACTAGATGGCGTCTTACAAAATATAGTCGGAATTAGTAAGTCTAAGTGACTAGTATTTTAATTATATATGTTTTTGATAAAAATGGACCTTAGGTATTGCATCTTTAAACTACATTTCAGTACTTGTTTAAAAATATATATTAACTTTTGTGTCTATTGCTCACCGGATGGCGTAGTAGAAAAATGAAATAGCACTATTAAGTTATGCTTGCTTTTTATGACATATACCTACATATTTCATAACTATTAAGCAGTAGACAACCTGTTAAAATAAAATTCATAATTAAATATAAATGAATACCATACCAGTTAGTGCTGCGAAAAACGCTCTCATGACACCCTGACCTATATTATAGTATTTCTTAGCAACGCGTTCTTTAACATTTCGCCAAACGATCTCCATGGGCACGTAGAATTGCAGTGTGTAGGTGAAAAATATGGCGAGTACGATGAAACATTTTGCCATTAGTGCAGGGCTGTAATGAAACAGTGATATTGATATATAGTCTTATTGATATACACAATTTTATTTCAGAGGCACTTTAACTAAAACAACTACTTCTACTATTGCTTCATTATACTGAAATAGGAATCTTATTAATATTATAAACGCGGAAGTTTGTGAGTATGGCTAGATGGATGTTTGTTACTCTTTCACGCAAAAACTATTTAATGGATTTTACAATAATATAGCTTATGCATCAGAAAAACACAGACTATACATTCCACGCGGGTGAATCTTCGGGCACAACTGGTAGGTACTGTGTAAATTTATGACTACGTATCAAAATGAAATTTTCAAGTCCACAATTTCCGCCTACCTTACTTTGTAAGTTCTATTTCGGCAAAATTGAGTCATAGCAATATATACCGTGATTTATATTATATGTAATATATATATATATATATATATATATATAAATCACGGAATATTGAGATATAATGGCCTAGAATTAGGAATGGCATTGCAAGTGTATAACACTTTTGATACCTTTTGGGTATTATATAGATATTATAACGACATGATGTCTGTCAGGCTGAATTAGGAGACAGATGCTATTTTCCATCGGTTGTTTTGCCATTCCAGTTACATAAAAACTAACTTCACGATTTTATTTCGGTGTCCTTCACTAATTGATGTGATATTATATATATTAAACAAAGCTATAAGAACCGTAAAACTTACATTTCATTTTTACCAGTAGGTAAATTCAGAGTGATACTGCCTTGAGCTTCATCTCCGTAGCGTATGTATCCTAGGAATCCCATTACCATGTATAGGAGAACCACGACAGTCATAGTAATATTGAGCACTCCAGGACATCCCAAGAAGTGCTCAGGTTTTGCCATTGTGTTCTCTACTGGCAACACCACGCCTATACCCTCCATGGCGAAGATTACTGTACTGAAATGAATTTCAGCTTTGTTGAAGTCAAGAAACGACATGTACAATAAAGGCACTTATCTGGAGGTTATGTACGAGTATATGTATATACTTTCTGCAAATTTGTAATAAATGAACTTAGGAAATTTTAGAGCATAAAAAATCTATCACTTAGGTATAAGGATCTATTAGTTTAGCGAGTAACAAGGCCATATTACTAGTACTGGGGTGGGATACAAGTAGTCTAAGATAAAAACCGTGCATTTACCCGATAAACAAAGGTAGCTTTCCGATATCGACCGATGATGGCCGAGTCGATACATCTGGAAATTCGCTACATATGTAATATAAACATATAATGAAGGTTAACACCAACAATATGTTGGCAAAACCAGAGAAAGGAGCTAAATACTTGAGATTCTTGATTTGTGTGAATATGAGAATTGGTACCAAAAACATCAGACAGTACATAACTGTATTGATGCCATTGTCTTCATAAAAGTGATCGATTATCTGAAACAAAAACAATTAAGTTTAGGAAACAAAATTGTAACTTTATTATAATAATAAACTCCAAAGTATCTCTACAATAACTTAAATTGTATTTTACTGAAATATTTAAATTTGAAGTTAAAATTTGGGAAATTTACCTAGATCAAAAAATAAAAAATGATAAAATTATTTCCGTATATTTAAAAGTAGAGCGTGAATTAGAAAGTAGTTATTTAAAGGATTAAAAACTATTGTAATATTGGATAACAGTATATAATAATAAATATCTTCTAATGTCCACCTACCTGTTTTACGGAATCTACGAGTAAAATGACATATACTGCACATGCTCCAAGTATCGTAAAAGCCATAGCCCAGTCTATGAATATTCTGAAAAAAAAAAACACGGAAATATTGTATTATTATACTTTACATAATAATATATTATTGCTATATCATCTGCTTCTTCCTTATCCAATTTATTTGGAGTCGGCGCGGTCGCTACATATTATTATTCGTCAAGAGTGTTGTGGCTTAGTGTTCTCTCCCGATTTCTACACCCAGAAGGCAAGATCAACAAACAAGTCAATATATCTTCCGGAAAGGAAACGCGATAAGAAACTTAATATTAATCTAAGTATGTTCACCCCCGACTTCAAATATATCCAGAGAAATGTGGCCAACTTGACCAACTTGATTATTGAGTGACTACTGACTGACGGAATTGGATGTTGATAATTAACAATGTCTCCTACTAAATCATTGGTGATGATAGTCGTGACGGTATATTTATTTATCAAGCTCTACAATAACTACCTTAGAGGTACAACTAAATTATAAACATATTTTTTTTATAATAACTTAACTGGTTTGTTAATATGTACTCTTTAATTTGAAGTTCGAGGCGTTTTGTACTGAGACCATTAAATACGTTGTATTCTATCTGCGAC